TTTCATCATGCGGGTTTTGACATTGAACTTCTCCCAGGCACCCTGCACTGTCTGGGGCACGTTGTGGGCCTCATCCTCGTGGAAGACGAGTTTACTTGTGAGCCATTCCTCTGGGTCTGCGTTGTGTTTCTTTGGGAACTCTTGAAGAAAGTGAGAGTATTTCATCGTCTGTCGCTTCACGTAATCTGGCGAGAATATGTCGCCCGGCTTCTCTTTTTCTGGCGGCAAAATGGAAAATTGGATCTCACAGAGGTGAAGAGCATTCCGTGCCTCCTCGTCCGTCCTGCCGTCGCCGCTCGTAGGCAAGGGCTTATCGCTGGTGATGAACATGCGATCCATGTTCTTGGCTATGCCCAGCAGGACATGAGGCTGCAGGCAGGCATTGAAATGGATGTGGAGGTGTGCCCCTTTGGGCATTTTTGTCGCGATAGCAAGCAGCCTCGTTCCGTTGATCAGATCGACGTTTGATAGGAAGTGGTCTGCGGGAAACCGCGGGTGGTTCTGACCACCCCACCCTTGCCTTGGCTCAGCCGCGTCATACACCAAGCGCTGGTCCTGGGCCTTGACGGCTTGAATGATGGCGTTGGCCTCGATCTCTTTGGACGAGGCCAGCGCCGTGAGACGAAAATCAAATGCCAGGGTTTTTTCGCGATTCGTTATCTCGAGGCGCTGGCGGAAGTATTCATCAGGCTCCTCAATCTTTTTGGCAGCGGCCGACCTCGTCCTGGCTTGGTCGAGAACGGTAACCTGGCGGGGACGGCGTTTGAGGCCGTCGCTGGTGCCGTCAATGATTTTGTCGTGGGCGTTGATCATTTCTTGGGCCATTTCCATGTCTGCCTGGTGGCGATGGTGATGAGGTTTCCGTAGCCTTCTCGAGGAGTGTCGCGTGAGATTGTTGTCGTCCCTTATTCCCAGGCCATCCTTTTCGCCAGGTGCATCGTCCTTTTGAAGGTTCGAGCATAAGCTCCCCATGAGACTGGAATCTTGATACGAACAAAGAAGGTCGCCCCGAGGTTTTTGATGCTGTTTTGCCGAAGCGTGATATCCCTGCGTGCGGACGAACCGAATGGGCCTTTGTCGCAATGAATGAGCTTGATCGCTTCGATTGCGAACGAGGGGTTGCAAGAAAATGAGTATGTATCAATTATATAAATGCGCGCAAGGCTCATGACGATCATACTGAGCAAGGGGTCCTTTCATACTACCTAGGTAGGTAGTCCATGAAAATGGGAAAAAAAAAGGACCAAAGGGTTGGGACCCTCTCTCCGGAAACAGCAAGATGCGTTGCGCGAGAGAGAGCGAGGTAGTCGGGAGAAGTGACTCCAGGCATAAAGTTGAGCGATGCTCCTCTTAGCTTGTAACCGCTTGCCTTACCTTGGTGAGAGGGGATGATGACAGCTGGGACCTGCGTGTTTGCCTTTAGGCCAATTCCTGTCTGGCGTCTACTTACCTAGTACGGAGTAGGTACTTGCCTATTAAAACCAACTACTATTACCTAGGTACCTCCCATGGACTGGGCTCGGTGCAACGGGGCTGGCTGGCCTGTCATCAACAACCCGGTCAATCAGAGAAGCTAAGCCACATACAGCTGGCAGACACACAGGCTTTCTTCTGTTGCTCTTCCTCTGCTCCCACCTGCCTTCCAACCTAGGTAGGTATTCTTCCATCTCACCTCACTTCACTTCACGTAGCCTAACCGAGAAGCAGTGACGAAGCAACAGTTGCTTTTTGACCGATGTCATCTGCTGCATCTACGATACTGCGTGCAACGTCGGAAGCACCATGTGGCTAAATCAGGTGCCAAACAGCCAGCCCACGCTACCACTTCCTCACATGCCCCCCCCCATGTCTTGTCTGTCGTCTCTTGTTGGTACCAACAAACACTTGACTGCATTGGCGGCTAAAAATGCTCCGTATATGGCTTGGTTACGGCTTATCGCATTTGATACGGGATCCCTCTTTGCCAGATGAATCCTTTTGCGCCTTGCTTTTGTACTGCCCCCTCCCTCACCAAACGCGGTCGGCAAGCGCCAAAAGGACGCTGCCAAACCCTTTCTCGCCCATCGTCAAACCAAACCCACTGCCGCCGACTCTCATCCATGGGAAGCATACTGCAACCTTACGTCAAAGCCACACATTTGCCTGTTTGCCAGTCCACTTTACAAACAACTTTGTCAGATGCCGTTTTAAGGGAGTGCCACACTATTGAGGATCTATAAACGCCTCGACGCAGGGTAGGGCCCTATGCAGTCCGTCCCAGATAGCTGGGATTCTTCAATCCTTTCCCCTAATGCGGGACCCCTGTTGGAACGCAGCAACTCATTGATCCCTTTTGCTACGATTCGTATCTGACTTAAGGCAGCAAGGCTGTATGTACATCGCTTTCTCGTCGACTAAGACTGCATGTTGGCTAAGCACACACGAAGCATGGTCATCCCCAGGCAGCGGCTAAACTACCCGCCGCATCTGAACTGGAGATGATTCCACATAGTCTGTGAACCAACAAGCGCCTGCTCTCCGCTTCCAAGAACATCGGTGCAGTATTACGGTCTCGGCATTGCCGCTGTCTCTTACTCTCCGTCGCGAATCTCATCTCAGAGCAAGTGGAATATCCTATCATCCGCCCACCAAGCCTGCCTTCTCATCAGCAGGGAATACTCGGCCTCGGGAATGGTCCAACCCCAACTCACCCCTTACACACAGACCGTCACAACGTGGCTCAGATCAGCACATGATATGTGGTTCTCGATATACGAGTTATCCGTACAAATCGAAATCCACATTCAGAAGACAAGATTGGCGGCATTTTCGAGTATCAAGCGTCCAGATCCGCCAGGGGCAATGCCACACCCTTCCAAGGACAGCCTCCAAACCCCATAAGCCAAGGCAAAACTTGGAATGAGAAACACCGCACTTTTTGTATACGAGAGTGGGTCTTCGGACACAATCACAAAAGCTTATTGAGATTGACAAGTTGAAGATTTTCCCACCTCCAGACCGGTCGTACTGATGATAATCCTTCCCGGCAGAGGTCCCGAGCTTACAGTCCGTGCCGCAGGAAATAAGTCCAGCCTGCGGCCTCTTTCCCCACAGAAGACGAACAACTTTGCCAGAGTAGCATTACCTTAGGCTCTCTACTACCGAGTCAGACAGCCAGCCAACGAAACGAACCCGGCCCAGTTCCTGACTATTCATACAGTTCGGAAAGGAGGCGTTGAGCATTGCTGTCGGATACAACACCGCCACGCTGACCCAGAGCGTTATTATCTTCACCCCGGGCGATGCTCCTCACGTATAATGCCTCGATTGCGTTCACGCAGAGTTCCCGGATGTGGACAGGGCGGTGACAGCTTCCATTCGCAGCTTGTTGAGAGGGCTGTGCTTTGGAACTATACCACGTACCCTATCGGGGCTGGGTTCACCGTTGAGTACACATGCCACAGTAGTCATGTGGATGCTGCGCTTCCTGGTTGCAGATGGTCATAGTTTGCATATGGCTTCCTTCTATACTTTATTCGTTCTCCTGCTTGTGATCCCCCTGTGATGAGCAACCTGGCAAGGCACATGAGGCCGGTGGTGTACATATTAGACGTGTCATATTCACTTTAGAGATAAAATGAGGCGATAATCATCCGCTCGAGCCCATCCAAATAGAGGTGACCGTATGTATTGGACCCTTTCTCCACATTGTTTGCGATCGCATAGCCAGTGACACTGCCCCTTTGCAAGGGGGTCACGGCCTCTTACCCTTGATGACAAGCGCACTGCAACGACGAAGCGCAGCATGGCAACAAAACCATACACAAGCCCCGCCCAAATATTACCCAAGAGAATATCCATATTGCATATTTGACAAGGCGTGCGGAGAGTTTGGGGAATTTCGATTCTTCTGGAGCGCTCACGGTCATCTCGTGTTCCGACTTTCAGGGCGACGACATGGCCCATTCCGCGGACCAGGTCCTCGGCCTCATTCATCAAACCGTCGTGCCTCAGTGCCAAGCTTGAACAGACGCGCCGAATATCGATTCAAGATGTCAAGTCCGTGGCCAGTCTCGGGACTTGAGGGTCTAGTTCGGTCGAGGCTTTGAGCGAGGCAGACCGATAAGCCTGATTTGCGTGAGGAAGAGATTCGAGCCATTTCAGAAGCGACATAGTATTCTCTCCCCGCAACAAAATTACCACCACCGGCATCAGGACTAACTAACAGCTAAAGTAACTTCTTCCGGGAAGAATAGTCCTGGTCTGGTGAGAGGCCGGGAAGGGGGGGCTTAGGCGAGGCGCAGCCACCACTCTGTGGATATGTCAACTCAACCGTATCCATTTCCCCTCTGACTATAGGCAGAGGTTGGAGCTAAAAGTCAACCCACATAAATCGATTCTTTTTGTACATTTTTATTTGTTTGTTCATTTTGGTTTTTCTTGGGTAGCATGATTGGCACCGTAGCGGCGTGAGATATTGTTGGTGTCCCAAAAGAAAGGGGAATTGCCGTAATGAGGTTCTTTTACGGTCTAATATAGGTTATGACACTCAGTTGATCCATCAACGGCCGCGAACATGATCGGCTCACCACAAAATCTCTCTCAAAGCGTCATAGAATACAAGAAAGTTCTGGGAAACTTCTGTCTATATGGTTTCTTCGGAGTGGCGGCCATTAGGTACACAACTTGGTCGTGTTCGAACCCGTCACTGGGCAAGCTCATACTTGCCCTGACGAATATTGACTGGAGCCAAAATAATATGTAGCAATATGTTGTAAGAAGTATTTTCAATATAATTATATCTATATATTTTGTGCTCTTCTTGTGAAAGTGTGACATTCCATGGCCCTAAAATGGTGCTATTAAACTATTAGCCATAACTTCACGACAGCAGGAGCTCGATGCATTCATAAAGTTGCCCGACGCGCGCATGCTCAAGCAGTCATGTGACTGACGCAGAAAAAGAGAAACGTGGGCATCAGTTATTAAAAGCTCCTGAGCCTTGTCAGCTTCCCCGCTCCGGCCGTGGGATAAGGCAAATCCATCGCATGACCCGATGCATGTCAACGGCACTGCCAAGAAATGCAACCTTGCATGTCAGCGACCGCCGGGATTAGCAAAGGCTGTTCAGATTTTGATAATTTCTTTCTTCTATCTCGGTCGAGAAACATGCCCATGGGCTTACACGCTGCAGATCTACGACAGACGGTGTCTTGCTTCAGTAACAATGCTGAATGGAGCTGGGATGGGCTATTGCCTTACTTTAAAGAGGTTGTCTCAATTCTCCTTTTCCCGGCATGATTGGATGACACTGAAGGAGATCTAGGCATAGAACTTCTATCCTCCAAGCCCTAAGCTGGTCGAGCAGTTTGATATCAAGTACGATGAAAGCTTATAGGATAACACATTCGGCACGCATGCTTCGTTCCAAACGTTTCATTGACCGGCATTGAGCGAGTTGACTTCTTCGTAACATGAATCAATGCTGATGCGCGTCTTTCAGAACACGGAGTGGAGGCTTTCGGCGATACTGAACGGGTTAACTTTCTCCCCGCGAACGGTACATGCAAAAAGGGGTATCACTGTTGTCATTGGGGTCATCCTTACTCCGCAGCTCATTCGGCGCAGTGGCGCTAGGCCCGAAAGCCTGTTTGAGGCTGCCGGGATCGATGCCATGGTAGATCGCCCTGATATGAGACATAAGTTTGAAGACCATCTTATGAGCGCCGGCGCCACGTTAATGTGTATGGCCGGGGTACGGCCTCAAGTTGCTGGTGTATGGGATGAAGGGGCTGAGCGTTGTGGATGCCAGCATACAACCTGGCTTGCCTGGTGATTACACGCAGCATACTGCCCATGTCGTTGTTGAAAAGGTGAGTACTTTGGAAAGTTGACGTTGACGCTTATCGACTCTGCTCTGAAGCTGCAGAATTGATTAAAGCCCGGGCCAATAGTAGGTGTAAGTCGGCAAGGAGACTTTGAAACTACTGAAATATGTCAACACAAGCGCAAGGGCCCAGGTAGCCTGATTTCTGTCCTTTGAATAGAAATGTAGACAGTACAAGCCGGCCACGAGGCCTTCCGCCATACAAAACGATAAGAGAGAGAGAGAGAGAGAGAAAGGTGCTAAGAGAGCCAAGATTGTATCAAACAGGAGATGCTGGTCTCGGTGAAAATAGCATAGCGGCAAGAAAGATGGAGTATATTGGTATCCTTGGATCCCAAGCTAGGCTATCCACACACATATAGCTACCAATTGTATGCTCGCCATCAGTCTTTCATCTGTCTGACGTTGAGGTTTATCCGCTTATTCTGCATCCACCCATTCCATTCCTCATATTTCCCACCTTCCGCTGGCCAGTCAGCCAGATAGTCAGGGCATGTCCCCTTCATGACCTTGGGCACGCCATGCCACGCGAACCGGGAATCCTTGGTCATGTAGATGGCGTCGCCGGAGCGCAGCCGGAGGAGGAGGTACTCCTTACCCGTGGCCTTTGCTTCTTCGGAAATATTCTCGGGGTCGTTAGGCGCGATCATGAACAGACCGTCGCAGCCGAAACTCAGGCTGATAAGGCCCCTGTCGGTCTCCTCGCTGACGTCGCGGTGCATCATCATTGTGTCGCCAGGCGTGTAGAAATTGACGATAGCGGCTTGAGCGAGGGTCTCGGGGAAGAGGGCCTCCAAGAATTGGGCAATGTCTGAGGGAAACTGAGGAGGGCGATCTTCGGGATATATGCGGTTGGTCCAGTCGTACTGGCCGCCGAGGGTGACCCAGTGGAGCCGTCTCTCCATGACCTGCTTGATGGATAGCGCTTTATGAACTGAAGGATCTTTTGGAATGAAGATTGGTGTTTGGTCAGGCGGGTATGAGAAGAACGACTCAGAGGATCCATCTGCGTGTTTCGGATAAGGTAAGTCGTAATGTAGGTGCAGGTTTGTTTTGTGTGTCGGGACGCTGAGGTCTCGGTTGATCATCAGCGAGAGGAGGTTTTTCTGGACTTCGGGAGGCACCAGGTTCGGTGCGATGAGAAGGCCTAGAAGTTTTTAGTGACCCGGCCTAGAATTTCATTCCAACACGATCTACAAACCTGGCAGAAGCGGGTGGTAAAGAACGGGCACCTCCTGAAGTGTTGATGTATCGACCGCGGCCGAGCTTATGTGAGAGAAAGCAGTTGTGAGCTGGTCGACCGAGATCTTTCCAGCCACAGAGAATTTACCAGCTTGATCCAGCGATCTAGGGTCATCAATTGAATCCCCATTAATGAGCTCCTTCTGATCTGCCCTTGAGTATCCCTTCCACTGTGCCCGCATCGCCTCTGACGGCTGCTCATGAGCATCGAGCTCGACTATTCCAGCAGCCATTGTGGGCTTTTTGAAACCAGAATTACAAAGAGATGTGCGAGCAAGGAGATCTATGTGGGAGCCGCTATCGAAGGGAAAACAAAAATCTTGTAAAATTTTCCAACTAAGTAAATCCCATCGCCTTGGTGATAGTCTGAGCTCTCATATCTATCGTACGTCCCAAGAAGCCTCAGTGACTCTGCGGGACAAAACCGAGAGTGAGTCCGTGACCCCACCATCGGTGAGTGACCTTATCGATAGGAAGTGTCAGGATAGAGGTGATTATCGATAAGCCTTAGCGCGGGCAGCCTGTCAGGAGTCGGACGCCACAAGTTAGAACGCGACCTTGGGTACAGTGGCCCTTTGGTTGGGTGAGATCAGATCGCGCCTTGTTTTTCTTCATTGCTAGTAAACAACGACAACCAAGTGCAATTTTAGCACACCACAAAACATCGCCCATCGCCCACCGCCCACCGACAACGCCCTTCCCGCCTGGGCCTTTTTTGCAACCAGCGACAACATTGCACCTCTCTCTCTCTCTCCTCCCATGGCGATTTCTCTTCTTGTAGCGGCCAAATTCTGATCTTTTCTGTTGCCTAATCCCCTGCGTGCACTACGTTGCCCCTAGACGACGACGATTTTCTCCCTTTGGGCGGCTTGTTTGTTCCTGGAGAGAGACCAGCACCTGTGCCCCTCCAGACCCTGAGGTGACTACACAACGCAGCAGCGCCATTAACCCACCCCCACCAAACAAAGGTTGCTTCAAACCTCACCACTGCCTCCAACGTTCTTTCAACCAGCAGACAAGTCAAATCCATATAGCTCTTGTGTCTGCTTTCCCACAAATTGACCCTTGCTTTGTTAATTTCCTTGCATCGCAATCATGGAGAATTACCAGAAGCTCGAGAAGATCGGTGAAGGTATGCATCCCCTCTCTCACCCCCTTCCCAGACCTTTGCACTCCGGGCGCCGAATCCGGCACAACATGATACAAGACCACTCACACAAACAAATGCTAATATTCCCTCCCTCGTTTAGGCACTTACGGTGTCGTCTACAAGGCCCGAGACCTCCTCAATGGTGGACGCATTGTGGCCCTGAAGAAGATCCGTCTCGAGGCCGAAGATGAGGGCGTCCCCTCCACCGCCATCCGCGAGATCTCCCTTCTCAAGGAGATGCGCGACCCCAACATCGTGCGCCTCCTCAACATCGTCCACGCCGACGGCCACAAGCTCTACCTCGTCTTCGAATTCCTCGACCTCGACCTCAAGAAGTACATGGAGTCTCTTCCCGTCGCCGACGGCGGCCGCGGCAAGGCCCTGCCTGAGGGCAGCTCCGAGTCTCTGAGCCGTCTCGGCCTCGGCCAGTCCGTCATCCAGAAGTTCATGTGGCAGCTGTGCGACGGCGTCCGCTACTGTCACTCCCACCGCGTCCTCCACCGCGACCTGAAGCCCCAGAACCTGTTGATCAATAGAGACGGCAACCTGAAGCTGGCTGATTTTGGTCTCGCACGCGCCTTCGGTGTCCCACTGCGCACTTACACCCACGAGGTCGTCACTCTGTGGTACCGCGCCCCGGAGATCCTGCTCGGTGGACGCCAATACTCCACCGGCGTCGACATGTGGTCCGTTGGCTGCATCTTTGCCGAGATGTGCACCCGCAAGCCTCTCTTCCCTGGCGACTCCGAGATTGACGAGATCTTCAAGATCTTCCGGTACGTATAGCATCCCTCGCCAAGGGCCTTGCTTCGTCTTTGCACAACTCGCTAATATTGCCTCTCTCAGCACGCTCGGCACGCCGACCGAGGATGTCTGGCCCGGTGTCACCTCGTACCCCGACTTCAAGAGCTCCTTCCCCAAGTGGATCCGAGACGAGTCTCAACCTCTGTGCACGAACCTCGACGCTGAGGGCCTCGAGCTCCTCGAGATGATGCTGGTGTACGACCCGGCCAGCCGCATCTCAGCCAAGGGCGCCTGCAATCACCCGTACTTCGAGACCTACCCCGACCAGCACTCTGGCCAGACGATAAGAAGCAGCCGCGCCAACAACGAATTCTATGGCAACTAGGTGTTCCCCATCGTCGCGCACGCGGCCCCCATGCAGCAGCAGCAACACCAGCACCAGCACCAGCACCAGCATCAGCATCAGCACCAGCACTTCGACCACTTCTAAGACACCACTTTGGGAACCTGCAGCAAGCATTTCGGCAGCAGGCATGGTATCCGAGGGGGCTGAGGCCGGGGATAAACAGCACACTCTTTATTACTCGGTATCCTATATCTACTTTCCAGGATACTGAGAGGGAATGTCTTGTCTTTTTCTGGGTCGTTGGGTGGTCACCACCACAAAACAGACTTTTTTTCACGTTTCCATCGACTGGGGACATACAACAATTACGGGGACTGGTGAAGGGCGACGTGAAGCGTTTGCAAGTAGCCTGGCACTCGACAACACAGTACCCCCTTCCAGAGCCGTGACAATGTTGGGTCACTCAGACTGGTTGTCAGGCTGTGAGACGTTGCTACAGCACGGTAGGGTGTCTCTTGTAGCTCTGTGTTTGGCTTACTGGGCATATTGCGAATCGTAGGACGTGTGTCTTGTACTTGTCAGTGGTTCATCTCACATCAGACATCAGGGCGGCAGCCGGTCCGGAATGAACAAATCACCATAGTAGGACGACGTCCTCCCCTTCTCCCCTGTCCTACGCTTTGGAGAACTCGACTTCTCTAATTTCTTTTGTCCTAAATCTTAATGTACGGAGTAGAGATGATGCATACGGTCGGTTTCGGTAGGGCAGGTTAATGAAACAAAAAAAGAAACGTTTGGCATTCTGCCTTTCTTCCGCGAGAGAAACACAGTGAGCATTTACCGCACCTTAGCCCCTGCCCTCGAGATGTGATGTTTGACTAGGTGGTTCCAGACCAGCCCAGTCGATCTAGTGCTCACCTTACCCTGCGTCCCTCTGCAGATCTGGCGATTTGACGGGAACGGTGCACCCTTCCTGCATAAGCCTTGATCCTAGCCCACAAAGAGGATGGGATAGCCTGATCATCTCGAGCTAGGAGGTTGAGAAGGTCGACCCGACGCGGGATGTCTTCGTCGGGTATACTAAACGATATGCCGGCCTCCCATTGCCGGGAATAAAGAGTTGCCGAGCCGGCGATCACCCAAAACTCCATCATTGCTCACAAGCAGGCAGAGGCTAAGAGAACCGTGATTGGGGTTCTTGCAGCATCCCGAGGCCCCCGACTTGGCATCAGAATCTAGAAGAAGATTTCCCACTATGAGCTGGAGCATCGTATGTCTCCAGGCGGGACAGTCAAAGGAACAGGATACGTTCTGTTCCAGTGGCTTCGCTCTCTCTCTCTCTCGCTCTCGCTCTCGCTCTCAAAAGGCATATGATGCATTTGTCAAGGATCGGCAGATATATCTCTGTCGCCAATGTAGCGACCTAGGCCAGCTTCAACGCCTCCAACAGCCCGCATCTATACTCAGATATACGTAGTCCTCCCCCGGCACTAACCAGGCCAAGTCACTCCCTATCGTCTCGAGCGTTACTCTAGACTTCTAGCAGCGTCTCTTGGGGGAGAGGGGCTTGAAGGAACACGTGGGAATGGCAACACCACGGTAGACGGCCTTATCTCCCCGCCGCTCACGATTTCAAAGTCCGATGGGCGAACGAAAAGGGAGTACCTCGCAAGTGTTTTCCCCCCCGCCCCCCGCCCCCCTTTCTTCCCCGCTAGGCAGTCATTTTGCCTAGCACTTCGTCCGGAGGGGGTTCCATGGACCGCCTAGGTACGCTCGCCTCTGCTAGTTTCCGACGATGCGTAAAGCACGTGGTCCGGATTCGAATGTGTATGTTTGGGTCAACAGTAAGCAGAAAAAAGAAAAAGGTAAAAAAGGGGGGTTGGGCTTGGACCGGTTCCACGACCATCTGGCGGCCGTCAGAAGTACCGCCGGGTTCCTACATCAGCTCACTTGTCACGCCGGTGTGGAGGCTCGCCTACGCGGCAGTTGTCCGGGTGGCATCCTCATCTGTCGACAGCATTACGAACGCCCAACGGCAGGGTCGGATGGTGAGGGGTGGACGGTCATAGTCCGAGGTGTGAGGAGGGGGATGTGGGCGGTTGAATCATCCAGCAGGTATCTTTCTTTCATCACCGTTCATCGACTACGCGGGAGTGTAGTCGGTCCTCCGCGGAAAACCACATAGATGGCCGTACGCGTGGGTGTCTACCCGCCTTTGGAACCACCTCCTGGGCTTTCATCGCAAACGGCGTTTGTATGCCCTCCAGGCACAGAGTGTACATGCACCGGCGCATCACATCCCCCCTTCCCCTGGCTGTTGAACGGGTTGGTCTCTTTGTCTCGTTTTCGGTCTCGTAAACTCGCTACCCAATACCACGAAATGGTTGCCCTTTTCAGTCTCGTAAACTCGCTACCCAATACCACGAAATGGTTACCCTTTTCAGCGATAGCAGAAGGCAAGAGAGAGGATAGTGAGAGGAAGCGTGCTCCTGCCAACCGAGACAAGGAAACAACACAAAAGCGAACACTGAAAGAAAGACGACGTCAGGATGGGTATTCTGATATTGCGAAGCCTCGGGCCGGGCGTGTCTCTCCTCGCTGCCCGCCAGTTGCCCTTCTCGATCTAGGCAAGCAGGCATGCTGCACCACAAGCCGCCGCCCGCTGGACAGCATCGTCCCGTCCGCCGGGCTGACGGGGATCCAGACACAGATCAATTAGCCATTACAAAACGAGAGAAATAAGGACTAAAACCGAAATGTCGATCCAGGCACGCACCGCGGAATGAAACCGCAGAGCGGTACAGCGGGAAGTGGGCGGATTTGTGGGATCATGGTTCCAAAAATCGGATGTGCCGCATACACGAAAAGCGCCTCCAATGCAAATCATTGAAATGCGTCAGACCCAGGTCTAGGGTAAGTTAAACTGGAGGGGGGTTAATCAGGAACAGAGTGATGGGGGCTGAACAGGCCAGTGGGAGCCTAGGAGAGACATCGATTTAGCAGCCATCCCTCCTTCTAGAGGGTCTGGCCAGCCTTGGCCAAGTCCACGCTGCCGGTCCGTCGCGACGGGAGGCCTTGGAGAACTTTGGGAATAGCGGGATGTGGACGAGGTGGGGAGTGGACGGGAGGACTGGTGGAAAATTTCCGTGTCCGTATCTATCTATTCCTCATTCATGGTCGCCATCCCCAACTACAACCGTTTCCGGCGTACTTGATTTTGGGATGAAGGACACCCCTTTTCAGGGCAACAAGAAACAAGGAGGGGGCCCGTTTAGCTCCCCGCCTGAGGGAAGCGGGACGTCAGCAAACGACAATAAGCTTCCTCCGTCAGGGAACTTTTGCAACGAGCAGCAAGGTATTGGAAGGAGACGAGGCCCTAGGGGGGTATAGCCGTGTAATGGAGCTCGGTTCTTGGGGGACCGCGCGGGCTGGTATCGAACGGCACATCTCCAGGGGCAATCTCGTCATATACGCGCACTGGCATAGGTATGTGTGCCACATTGCCATCATACGTCATGGACGACTAACATCGACACCGGGAGCAGATCGCCAACGTCTGGAGCGTTTTTACGATACCAATCTTACGGGCGCAACCTTTTGACTCATCTGCTCCCCCAAAGCATATTTCTTACCTTAACCTAGTACCCGGGTCCTGTCCTTGGACTCGTCCGAGTGTAAGACAGCACCGCCGACTGTTTCTTACGTGCGAAACCAGGAAATCCCAGGAACCAGGTTTGAACGGGGGGGGGGGGGGGAGAGTAAGGAGGGCAGGAAATCTAGAAAACCGGAAACAGCTTCAAGTCCCGATTCGTAAGCGTCCCTCTCAGGACCTGAGACAAGAGATCAGTGAGTTCATGAACACTCCGACAGAGTTCCGAACTTGGTCGACTTTACCCCAAGTGGACAACGTGAGAGACATAGCCCTTCCCCGTTGAGGCTCTCGTAAAAGGTTCACCTAACCTGGCGGTAACGAGGGGCGCAAGTGTCCTTGTGTACCTAGACTTTTCTTTTTTGCATCATGCCCCGGCACACAGGACTTGACTTCAAAAGGGAAATAGATGGGCGGGAACAGCGGCTGTCATGCAAAACAGAGCTCTGTGGCTCACAGCTAGCATCATCACGACGCTGCGGGCTCTCGGGGGCTTGTGGAACGAGATCGCATGAGGATCGCGTGAGAACATCGTCTTCGACGCTGCCGCCATGGCCTATTTCGATGTGGGCTTTCTTCACTACGGCGGGTGGCTGCTTTGGTAAATATGTTTGGTGCGTGTGGCAATGGTTGCATTTGTGCCTGAGCAGTGATAGTGCGAACAGTAGAACGAGCTAGAAGGCAACGAAGAAGGGTTCTGGACGTCACCAGCGATGCCGCAAACGGGAGGCTTTCGACTTGGGACATGAGGCAAAAAAGAGTGAGTAGCAAACCAAGGTGTCGTGGGGCTTAGAGCTACCAGCACTTCCCACATGGAGGGCGTGAAACGAACGGAACGGAAGCAGATGTGATAAGGAATCCGTCTAAAAGAAGTAGTGCCTGTCTCGGGGACCTGGAGCTTGCGGTACGATCAAAGTCGGCACTACGCCTTGGATGGAAGGACGGAAGGACGACTGGCAAAAAGCGGCAGGATGCGCACCTCTAGGCTCCCGCAGGCGGGGACGATCAAAAGATGCTGTGGAGGCTGTGCCCGTTAGGTTTACAATTGTTGAAGGCTGCCATGTGCGCTGGCCGAAAGAGTCCCGCCGAAAGCGGACCGAGGTTGGTGGGTGGATGATGATGTGCAAAGGAAGGACCTTTTGTTTGGCTTTTGGGGTTCGTCTCGAGGGCGTGGGCAAGCCAACAATGTGTGCTACACCTGCCGGAGAGTATCCTCTCAAGGGGATTGAAGGGGGACGGACCATGTCTCGGTCTTGGCGGATGAGCCTGAACGCCGTCATCCAAGCTGTCGGGTCCATGGACTGGATGACGAGGAGGATGCAACTAGGCGTAGAAAGGCACAGTCGAGTTCCCGAAACGTAACGCAGCGAGTTGGAGCGGTTGTGCTGTTTCCGGGCATCTGTTGTTGTTTGCTAGCAGTTCAACATGCTCGAGGCGTCCAGTCTCAGTAGGGGTGACTGCGGCTGCGGGGCCAATGACGACTCGGGTGGATGCATGATACTCGCAGCGGTTGCGCAGATTGCCGTGGCTATTTCCATAAGAAGAGGACCGTGCAGCGTTTAAGTTGAAGCATGCCGCCGGGGATGGACCAATAGGCGCATCAAATGCCCGATTGACGAGCGCTTGTGAGGGAGGGGAGGAGGCAACGGCCTCCCGAAGACATGGGACAGAAGCCTGTTCGGATGATAGATGCGCGGGCGCTAGTCATGGCCGTGCGGCGCAGTGATTGATTGACCAAGGGATGAGGCTTAGACGACAGGACGCGGTTCCTGAAACGCAGCGCTTGGGGGCCACGACCTGCCAAGTACGGAGTAAGTGAGTACCGTATCCTCTCGTGAGATTGATAAAACGCTAGTGGGAAGGCTAACTATTAAAGGCAATACGCTAGCCAAAAACCGCTAGCGTATATCCACTGCGCTAAGCTTTATTTAGAAAGCGGTCAACTGGCTGACCCCACCTACCTTCTTGCCAGCCAGCCAGCCAGCCCATCCAACCCATCCAACCCATCCAACCCATCCAACCCATCCAACCCATTAACCCATTAACCCATTAACCCACCACAATATTCACAATGCCCAACCGCCTGCCACTAGGCGAAGTTAACCTAAATACACCACTGTTACACAAGAAAATAGGTAAAAATCCTACGCCTATTATCAACTAACAATATACACCAAAAAAGCCTATCTAACAAGTTAAACAGTCTTATTCTTAGCAAAAAAAAACAGAGGTATTAATTTACCTTAAACACTACTGCTACCTAATTAATTTATTACAGTAACAGCAACAGCAATAGGCTAGTAATACCCCCCTAGACCTAGCTAATGGCCTCTGCTGCTTAACCTTGCAGAAGGCTGCTGCCTACTTTAAAATCCCTCTCCTAACAATATCTAAGTAGTATTAATAATAAAATATAATTACTAGTATAAGCCTCTTTATTTATTAACTAAAGTAGCTAAAGATTAAAGCTAAACTATATAGCTACTTTTAGTAATAATAAGCCTATAATAAAGTTATTACTACTAGATAGTTTAAGCAGAAGGCCTAGGCCCTTTTTACTGCTAAATACCCTAACACCCTTATAGCTAGTAATCCACCTACCTATACCTACCCCTTTTAATTCTCTACTAGCTAGTTTAATAGCTTCCTTACACAATGGAGTATTTTATACCGCTAGCTTATAAAGTAAGCCTTAAAGCTGCCTACTAAATACCTTATAGTTATTACTAGCTTCCTCTACTTTAACTAACGCGTTAGCTAGCTATCACTAGCCTAGTAGCAGCTGCCTATTAGTAGCCTCTATTTTTTACCTAACTATATTATTAACTTTAACAAGACCCCTATACCTTTTAAATACCTTAATAGATCTATATAGGTAGCTAGGGGGTCCTGTACAGTAGCTAGCAAAAGTAACTATAGTAGCTAAAGTAAGTAGCAAGCTACTCTTATCCTCTATATCTTTACTAATAAGGTCTAATAGCTACTACTAAAGCTTATTTTTTATAGTAAGCCTACTAGCCTTAGTAGCTAAATAGAGGTATATAAGGGTAACTTATATAGTAAAAAGGTAATAGTTAAATATAATAATATAGCTTATAATAATAAGTACCTTCTTAGGTAGTAGCTAATAAATAAATTTTTTTCCTTTATAATAAAGTAAGAATACCTATTAGTTATAGACATTATAACCTTTTATAAGACCCCTTCTATACTATTATAACTTTACTTTTATTATATTACACCTAGCCTTATACTACTAAGTATAACCTTCCTCCTTTAACCTCTAGATACTACTATTAATAAGCCTTTTAAGTAGTAGTTATCTAAAGTAATAGATAAATATATATAGTAAATAGAGTAAGCTACTGCCTACTAGCCTAGCTAGCCTATTTAGCCTATCTAGCCTATCTAACCTATCTAACCTAGCTAGCCTAGCTAGCCTATTAAGTAGTCTACATTAATAAAACGCATTATAGTTACCTATACTATTATAATAGCTGCCTATTGCCTAGCTAGAAGAAGTAAGATAGTCTAGTAATCCTTTCTTTAGTGTAAAATTAGTAGTAACCTAGATAAAAGCAACATTAACAAGATTTAGATTAAGGATATACTAAACAAGAAGATATTATAAGATAATTAGGATAACTTTAACTATAACGCCTATATAAAGAAGGAAATAACATAAGAAGAGATATCTAACGTTAATATAAATAACAACTACCAAGAGTATATATCTCTAGCTGAAGATGTCTAGTAACCTATCAGAAATAGTTTAACAAGGCTATAGGAGATCTAGAGTAGGAGGAAGGGAGGAAATCCAATGTTAACCATAAGTCTGTTTGCTGGCCCTTGCCACCTAACTTGCTGCTAACGTACATGACTAACCCCTGCTTTTGCCACTTCTAGATCCCTGTTTCTGCCAGCAGACTATACCCCTCACAGCGACCGTCAAAGCGGCCGCCATACCTCTTGCCGACTAGCGTTTTATCAATCTCACGAGAGGATACGGTATGTGAGAGAAAGAGAGCGGGCGGTTCGTCGCTTGTTCTCAACGAGACTATTCCTTGCTCTAGCCAATGGCGAGGTCGAGGGGCTTTTTCTCGTGACCGATGGGGATAAGCAGCCTTGCAGCTCCCAACACCGGGCACTAAACCTTGGCCTCTGGAACTCGATCTGGCCCTCTTGATGTCATGCGGGAGCCTTCTTGGCTGTTAATGGGAGCCGGAGGGGTCTGCGTAGCAAGGTGGAGGCGCCCAAATGCTAAACAGCACCGGAGCGTGGAAGGCAGGTCTCACATTTTTTCGAGATAGAGTATATGCTTTTTCTCTGGTAGGTGTTTCCTGGCGTTCCTTAGGCGGATCGGCGTTGAGGTTGACTCAGTTCCCAAACAGAAACAGCGCCTCGGCGTCGTGCCGCCGAGGGGTCGCAGAAGACACCGTCAACGAGGGTCGAGGACGCTGTAGTTGATTGATGCGTGTCGGAGCTGCGGCGGCTTTGGTCAAAGAACCAAGGCAGCCGGACGGGCGCCACGCGTCGGCAAGCGAACGCCGCGGGCGGCTGGTGAATGGCTCACTCGTCGCAATTTTTGCAGTGCACTTCGCGTCCCTCGGGACAGTGAGAGTCGTACGGAAAAAAGGCTTGGCGGGCCTGCCGCCGGGGTTTCTTCTCAGGGTTTTTCGGACGCGGGTTTTCGTCTTATGTTGTGACGTTGGATGTGACTGCACCGCTGTGGCGTTGCTGAGCTCGAGATGCCGAGGGGCTGCTTCTTTTGCGGAGACGCCAGCTCGTAATCCGATGGCCCGTGGAGTTCAGGGGACACGACGCAAATGACTACCTGAGGTAATCAAGAGTCTGGGGGGGGGGTTAGGTCTGGGAAGTGGCGGGCTGGGTGACGATGCAGGTCCCATATTGTGGCTGATGCTTGTGGCAGCAGGGCCCGGCCGAGAAGCAATCCGGTACGAAGTGCTACGAATACCTACATACCTACGGATACACAGTACAGTAGGCAGTGTAGGTATACATAGTATACAGGCAGCTGGAGCAAGGGGACGCCGACGCAGGCAGGGCAGCACAACCCCTGAGGAGTGTGAACGGGAGACTTGTCGATCAACTGACTAACGGAGCCGAGGCCGTCGATCAGCGATTGGGATGGGATGACAGATTGCGAATGCGCACGCGCCACACCTTACAGTCCCTGCTGGGCGAATAGGCGTGTGCGAAAGCCCCTGGCCGGTACAGGGAAGGGGGGCGTGTGCTTCGAGCATGTGTGGCTCAAATGGGAGGGGCCGGTCTATGCGGGGTACTCAGGCTGAGGCAAAGGGCATGGGACATGCATCGAATGAGCTGGCGCAGCTAAGGGGACGCGACACCTTCACTGGTTCGTCGTTTCTGTGGCCGCATGAATCTGTATTGAATAACATGTCCGTTGCGGAGATGACTGCACCATCTGTTGTGTTAAGCAAATGTATGTCTTTGGATGACCTATCTATCCGAGTCGCAATGCGGCATGGCACTATGGTTGCCCTTGTTCAATAGAGGAAGATACGGTGTGCCCTTGGCAAATTTCAGCCACACATTGTCTCGAGACCCAGCGACCTTGTGTGGTCCGCGCGGTGACGCACGATTGGCGAACTCGTACTGCTGGGGTGGTCTTTGGTCGGCATGCCCTCTGGCCAATCGTGGTGCTCTTATGAGCATCACTCGGAGGGGTCTCCGACGCACCAGGACCGATGCGGCAGGGTCTCCCGGCATTCGTGGAGACGCGGTTCGACAAGGAGGGAGGGAGGGAGGGAGCTGAAGCCTGGGAGCCGTTCGTTGTCGAGAGGGAGAAGGGAGACGGTAAAAACTACCGTCGGTGCCGAAACCATTTCGACGTGCGGATGGCGAATGGGACACTGCAATAACGCAGCCGGTTGATTTGGTGCACAACAAGAAATGAGCCAGGCCCTAATGCCAGGCCGACGATAGTGGAAGAATGAAGAGGTGTTGGTGTTGGCTGGTGGCCATGGTGGCACCCCTGCATGTACTTACCTACATCATACTTACAGTACAAGGTCCATCGGCCAACCCCCTGAATCTTGTGTCTCGCTGTGCATAGTAAACCGTCGGTGATGCACTGGCTCACTCGCTGGTGTTTGGGCAAGCCACGTAACTCGTGTTTCTGTCCCCACTGCATCGCAGACAAGAGGTTGCATGCAGGCCGGGCCCGTCATTCAGGGGGAAACTTCAGCTCGACGGCATGAGCTTGGGCTGTTGCAGAACTCTCAAGCGTGATGGCATCTGAGCACGCAACGCCTCGATGCATGGGTGGCGGTCGTTAGTATAGTGTAGTCCTGCCCGAGATAAGTGCTTGCCAAAAGGTGCACCCCCAGATCCATCAATCCAACTGACGCCGCCGCAATGGGCAGTAGAGGCCCTTGACTTGATTAACATCTTGGGTTCTGATGCGGGCTACGAAAGGAAGGAGGGGATGCAATTTGGGTCAGACTAGCTCGCCTGGTACATCCGGCTGACTGGCTGGGGACCAGCGGGTCATGGCGAAGCCACCGTCGCAGGAGGGAATTCTGAAATTTTCCATGGCGCGGGGCTATCGACGCCGCCGCCAGTAGAGCTCGGGCGTGTAATAGCAGTCGACGGCGTCTTTGCCTCCTTGTCAGCTGCCATCCCATCTTCTTGCAAACTGGTCGCCATTTCGGACGAGAGTTTGTACGGATTGGCGATATACAGATAGGTAGGTAGACCGGCGCTGTTGTCAGTGCTCGTGTTGGCTTCCCTCCGAGCCAGCCAACTTGATCATCCCCTCGCGTTCCCAGCCTTTACCCTGCGCTCGGGCGTGCGTCAGTCCACCGGTCGCACTAAAAAGAAAACGGAAGGAGAAAAGGGGATATGATGATCCAATAAAGTGATCCCGGCCACGATCCAGGCACACGTCGAGCCCAAGGGGAGGAGGGATGCATTCGATTGGGAATGAAAGGCAGACGCATGAAACCGTAACGTGGGGAACGATCTACCTCAGGGAACGATAGTCACAGACGATGCCAGCGATGACCGATAGGTATTGCCACCAGTAGGGTTTCCGCAGAGAGATTGGTACCGGTGGAACGAGCACGTTCCCTGCCACGGTACGGCCAGGCCTCTTGTCAATTGCGGGAAGGGAGCGATCAGTCATGCGAAGCCGAAACCTTGACTTTGGGCCGATGATGGGGGCCGTGCCTGTTGGCAGCTTTGGCAGAGACAGATTGCTCAACCGGTAGGCTCACCAGGGTCTAACCATCCCGTAAGCGTTTTCGGGGCAGGGAGAAGATTGGACGAGCTCCGCCATGGAGATGCTGGTATGACTTCCTAAGTCCCCAAGATTTCAGTGGGTGGCAAGCTGCAGTAAAGCCACGGGATGAAATGGCCCCCTTCGCCCTTTTCATATACCTAGGTAAGTGGGCATGCGCCAGGCTCTGGAATGTTTGGCTGATACCTACCTACACTACGGTACCCCAAGAGCCCGACAAAGAAGCAAGCTTCCGAGTGACGCTTGAGGTTCGTGGGGTGGTAGGTAGATGCTGCTAGCTGGACTGGGCTAGTCAACGTCTAAAACCTCTTTAGGCCGATGACTGGCCACTGATGAGCATGTCGGTTGGTCACCGGGGCAGGAAGGATTGGTCAAGGTTAGGCGACTATCCTTCGTGTTCCCGTTAGCTGACGGTTAAGCTGGTGACAGCCATTGTTCAAGGTCCAGGGAGTGTCTCAGAGCATAATGGTGATGGCGTTGAATGTTTCGTTTCATCAGGGACACCGACCGCTTAGCGTTTTGCGACGCCCGTTCTGCTGCTGAACTGCTGATGTAGTATGGGGACCGTCAATCATGGTGGGTTTGGAAAACGGTAAGATTGGCCAAGCCGGATTGGCTACGCTGTGCTATGGTTTGCGGGCGCGGGTCCTGATTCGTGTGTTTGTAAGCCAGCGCGGGCATTGGTCTTTGAAAGATACCAAAGTCTAATGCATGTGGCTCCTCAGTCGTTAAAGTCTCGGACGCGAGGCGGCATCATGGAAGAAAAGCTGTATCGCGTACCAAATCGGCGTTGGCCGCAGCGTACATGGCTTTGATGGACGACTCTGGCGTCCCGTGTGCAGGCCAGAGTGTAAAAACACTGCCAAAGAGGCCCAAGCAGGGCGCTTGATTGTTTGCCGGTTGACCCGATCATTTGCGACGATGCGACAGGCCTCGCTGCAGGACTGTTAATGCTGCCAAATGCGGCTACGGAAGCGACGAGGAAGGAAATTGCAGGCAGGTAGCAGAATCGTCTCTCGATGCAGAGTAGGCAGCACAGCTAGACCTGGGCGGCAGCCCAACAGCGGTTGAATTAGATTGGAGTTGGTCCACAGTCCACGGAGAACAGCGGGTGCCACAAGAGGCGAGGGGGAAGGCGGCGGCGCGTCGGCGTCTGGTCAAGAAAGGTCGGTCGCGAGCGACGCGGGCCGGTTGCTTCCAGCGGTCGGCGACCACGCGGCGTGGTGCTAGATGTGGATTGGCCATGTTGTCGCACGTCGACGGCCCCGTCTTGATCAGGTAAGGCGAAGAGGCACGGCACGTCGATACGCTGTTTCAGTGCAGGGGGGCAGAAAATAAGAATAGCAGCGATTAAACGCCCATTGGACCAGGCGCCATACTTCGTACGGGAATAGATGAAGAAGGGGGGGGGGGGGGGGGGGGATAACGCGGATCCGAGTTCGAGTCGACAGAGAGCCCTGTTCTTGTTGCTCTTGGCCTTGGATCGATTGGTGTAGAGATGGAGGGAGAGCTGCCTATCGCTTGTTTCATCTGCACAGTCAGCGGAAGACGCAGCCACCAATGAGCCGCGTGCATCTGTCGTGTCGTGTCAGTCGAAAGTCTTTTGGGAACGACGTCCCTGAGCCTGACAGGCGGGCTGGGGTGAAGACGGGAGCAAAGCTGACGTGCTGCGTGCGTTGACCTACCCCGGCCCTATTCTGTATGCTTTGATGTTGTTTTTTTGGGTGTTGAGCTGGCGGCTGATGAGTGGTTTCTTCCTTCGCCAGTGGAGGCAGGCACGAGGCAAGGGAGAGAAGAGGAGGAGCAAGGTACGTACCTAGGTAGTTGCCTACCGGTAGATGTCCATCGTACGTCGTCGTGGCTTCGGTGGTGTTCGTATGTGCCGTCGTTGGCCAGTCAGACGGCAAGAAGCCACGGTCCAATACGAGAGAGACAACCAACCAGAACGACGCATACCGACCAGGCCAGCGCAGACTAAGCTATCTATCTACCTACGCGCTACCTACCTACCGGGGTAGATAGATAGTGTATACCGTGAATGGGGAGAATAAACGAATGGCTGGGGACGGGTTAAGCTGGTTTCTCCTCCATTCCTTTTTTTACCCGTGTGAGCGTGTACTTTGCTGATATTTGCTGCAGCCAATGTTCCCGCTGCTGGTACGAGAGACATGGGCCCTTGCTTGTGGGATCGTGTCTTGATGTTTCTGCAATTACTGGCTGAAATGGCATCGATTCCGGTGCGAAGCGGAACTGGGGTGGACAAGGTGGCACTACCGACCGAGTTGCGATGGCCAGTCAACGGTCTGCGTGAGACACTCAATAAAGTTGGTTATGGTGGTCGCCGTCGCCGTCGACAACCAGCGGGTCACGTCCTGCAGCTGCTTCGGCCCATGGCAATGTCGATTCCTTGGTACGGGGAAGCAAGCAATCTTGCGTGGTCTGAGCCAGCACCCGGGGTGGTCTTGGCCTTGCACTTGCAAAAGTAAATATATCCAAAGTCATCCCTCACCTCGACGCCTCTTGCACTATAGTCTTCATCCCTGTGTCCTCCTCCCTCTTGAGTCTCGAGTTTTGTCTGACAGGACTTGACTTTGATTTTTTGATTTTTATTAATTCGGTTGCATCATCATCATCATCGTCGTCATCGGCATTCGAGGGTTGTTGTATAGAATACGATAACCGACCTAGCTCTTTTTTCCGTCTCCAATAGCGGCAGCATCGTTGACCGAGCTTCACCGCCGTCCATCGCAGCCACCGGTCTACCACTACACCGAGGACTTGCCTCGATTCATCTGTATCAACAGCCGGCCCGGCCAGTACGAATCAGATCTGTTCTGTCATTTTGCACACCCCTCGTTGCGGCTTTATTGTCGACTAACCCGTTCATTTGCTCGACACTTGGTTTCTCGTCCGATCTACCCTTACTCAATTTGAGACCCTCCGTTGCCGGTCATCGCGTCTCTGTACCCAAGCTCCTTCCCCCTTCCAACGACTGTGCATTCCAATCGGGTGTCTCTGTCCCACAACAGCTAGCTGCGCACCCCACTCCGGTGTACAGCGCCTTCCGCCTGCTGCACTCGCACAGTCGCTCCCTCCTGCTGCCCCTCCGAACCAACAACACGGAGAAGTTGGAATCGAATAGATTCTTTTCTTGTTGGATCTATTGAATCTTTTCATCGTCACTACCCTACTGTCGCATATCCCTCTCTTCCTCGTCCTAATCCGCTCACGCGAGTCTAAATTAAAAAGGTCGAGCCAGCCGCGTCATCCCATCAGTCATCCTTACCACCATCATCGGCATCGTCACCACGAAACATCACCCAGGCATTTTTCCGTGTCCTTGTCTCCCCTACATTTCCCGCCCGAGGCACGTCGCTCCAGATCCTCGAGCCCACCAACTCGATACTCGTGCGTCAAGTTTTGCATCAACAAGGTCAAGACTCGCCACGCCACCAAAGCAGCACCTTACCCCCATTGCGTTCAATTCCGCCTTCGATTTCGCCCGAAAGCCTCGACCCTTCGACAATAGCGTGTGTGGTCTTGAATCAACCCCATCCATCCAATCCAGTCGACGCCATCTGCCCAACTTGGAAGACCCCTGCTTGCGGCTTTCCATTCGCGGAAGACGACCAACACCGCCTCTCGCCCAACTGTCCTGAACCTGCACTTTGCGAGTCAACAAGTACGGGCTACCCTGTCCACCCCACAATCCCGCAGCCACATCTCGCGTACCATCTACTCTCCCCATCGCTTCATCTATCCGTGGAAAGCAGGCTCGCCTCGGAAACGCGCATTACGAAAGCCTCGCCCTCTGGCCATCCTAGCACGTTGCTCAAACCCGCCTCTGGAAGTTGGTCGACCGTCGTCATTTCCGACTCTCGTTCATTGCCTCTTGGGTTTCTTGTCGCATCAAGATATTCCAGACTAGGTCTATCCCGAACCTTCACGCTTTATCCGTCTCGCCTTGGTTCATCTTTAGCAACACGCTGCCGGACGAGCTCGAGCGAGCCTGGCTCTAGCTCCCACTTTACGCGCAAAGAAGCGTCAATAGATTTCCCCGTCCTGGTACGCTGCCTCACGCTTTCGGCATTCGGATCCCGGCCGAACAAAGCCCAGTCAACAAGCACTCACTCTTTGTGGTCCCTGCTGCTTGACCTACACGTACACCCACTGCCAGCATCGGCAACGCATCAGCCGCGGTCCCGAGAATAATTTATCGACAATCTACAATCATCGAACGCCGTCCGCTGGTTTGGAAACCCTGCAGTTTTAACAGTCGTCAACCAAAGCTGCTGATACCACCGATCTTGCTTTGATCCCGCTCTGCCGCTTTTAACGCCTCGAGCAACTAATCAAGCGGGCGAGATCTGACCGTCAATCAATCTCTCAATCAGTCCGGTTGAATTCGATTTGCAGTCCGTTGGCTCAATCTGTCCTAGACGGCTTGACGCATCGTCTCATTTCGTCGAGCACCATCAAATTGCATCGTCGTCTTTATCCTTTTCTCCCAACCCCCAAAACCGCACACCCTGACTCGCCCTGGTCGTTTTGTTTGACGGCGTCACCTCCTCACCCACAACTTTTCCAAGCACTTGGCAGCTTTGGCTCTGTTACCACGTCCGCTTGCAGACATTCAAAACTCTGCCCATTGCTCGATCCGTCGTAGGCCATCGAGTGGTTTTTCCAGAAGGTTCAAAATTGTATTGCGTATCCTTGGATTCCCATTATCGCATTTGCATTGCCAGGATACAACAGCACAAAAAAAAAAAAGAGAAACACGAAGAAAAAACAACAAAAAAACAAGAACAATAATAGCTAGACAGCCGTGTGTTCCGCAACGCATCAGTCTACACCGCCAAGGCCATACGGTCAGAGTCGCTATCACGAAGTCGTCGCAACGGACAGATATTAGTTGTCTGGGCAGAGAACTGAAGCAACAGCAGCAGCAGCAAGAAAGTGCAATCCGCAAGCACCGACTCACTGCAACCCGCCAAATCCAGACCCACCCCTGCCGGCTAGCCCGTCCCTTGCGACCTCGCTTCTTGTCTGAGAAAGTTGTATCGCCACACCACGGCGACTTGATTCTGTTCACCCCTCCCTCTAAAAAAGATTACGCACCCCTGCCACCTGAACCAAAGCAAGCACCCCCCCCCCCCCCCCCCACGCCCTTGCCCGCTTGCACACCCCTGTACCCCCCCTGGGATCTACACCATTCCAGCCCACTCCAAGCATCCAAGCCCCTCCAACAGGCACTTCCGTCGGCGTCCTGCTGAGACTCCCTAAAAAACTAACCCCCCCCTACTACGCTAGCACTTGACTAGCGACCCCCTGACAACCTGCCCACTCAGCCTCGTGGACCGCACGTCACCCAGCTGTTCCGCATCCCCCAGCGCCGCCGGTGTTACCAGGCAGGCCCATCCCAAAGCCTGGCCCCAGCACTTGCGACAAGGCACATGAACTTCGCCGCACCCCATACTCGCACCCTCCTTTTCGTCTAATATATCAGCCCAGGCTGCCCGTCTGAGATTCCCTCTTCTCTCCTTCATTTCGTCACTCTTCAACGACCTCAACAGTAACCCAAAGGAATCCTCCTTCCTTGACCCTCCCACCCCAGGAGCCCTACTCATACGACTACCCAACCTCCCATCCTCACCCAAAGGATACCCCAACCAACCACCCTCACACATACACATACACGACGCAATGGAGTCACGGTCATATCTCAGCTCGACCGAGCTCAACGCCGCCGCCCTTGACCACTTCGTCTACCAACCCGTCAGCAAGTCGATGATTTCCTACCTGGCCGGTGCCGCCTACAATGTCATCGCATGCGACAGTGCTCTGATGCCTCCCGCATCCGCAGAGGCATATCGTCAACAGCAGCTCCCCCCGACACCACCCAGAACGCCCGAACCCCGCCCTGTCCGCTCCGAAGACGCTGACCTGCCTACGCTTGAGGCCTTCATCACCCAACTCGTTGTCTCGTCCAACGTCCAGGTCCCAACTCTTATGTCGACACTCGTATACCTCACTCGGCTCAAGTCTCGTCTGCAGCCCATGGCTCGTGGTCTCCGGTGCACCACTCACCGCATCTTCCTTGCCGCCCTCATATTGACCGCCAAGTACCTGAACGACAGTTCGCCCAAGAACAAGCACTGGGCTACTTACAGCCATGCCAACAACGACTTCTCCAACTTTGGCTTCAGCAGAACGGAAGTCAATCTAATGGAGAAGCAGCTTCTCTTCTTGCTGGACTGGGATCTGAGAATCACCGAGGAGGATCTCTACCGCGAGCTTGACCCCTTCCTCGCGCCCATTCGCGCCGAAATCGAAGCCAAGCATGCCCGTCGCTTGGCACGCCGCCGCAAGCAGGAGGAGGAGATGCGCCGGAGGCAGGAGGGAATGTACAACATGGCCACTTACCCCAGCCCCCCCTCATCTCGCGCCAGTTCTCGTTCACGACAAGAGACGCCGGATCATACTCGCACTTGCAGCGGCTCTTCTATCACCCCCCCTGGCTTGTGTTATAGCAGCAGCTACGGCAGCTCCATCGGCTCCTATGCTCCTTCTGTAGCGTCAAGCCGCTCCCAGTCGCGGGCCACGACGCCGCTGGACAACCCCGCCGATGAGCCGTACATGTACGTGCCCAACGGCAGCTTGTACGACTCGCCGGTTGAGGTTCACATTGAGCACCCGGCGTCCACTTTGCCGAAGCGGAAACCACTTCTTCCCTACGAAATCAGCACCGAGGAGCTTCGCGACATGCAAGACGGCACAAAGGCTAAAAGAGCACGCATGGGCCGTGGCATGTGGGGTCGCGTTTTCGGTGGTGCAGTGACAGTGCGGTAGACTGCATGATCCGGATCTTTTTCTCCTGTTACAGCCTCATCTTTTTACAGTTTCTTGCGTTTTGAGCCACCCCTAAAAGCATGGTGTTGGATTGTGCTATAGAGACAGCGAATGGGGCGACAGCCTTTTTTCTCTCCTTTTGTCCTTTTCTTTTTTTCACCTTCTTCGAGTCTCCCCGAGGGCGTTGGGCTGGGTAATGGATACTGGTACATGGAATACGAATGAGGATAGAGCATCCTCGGGCATTTGCATATATGGATCGGTGTTGGGCGGTCATTCATGGACATAGGTTATTTCTCCACTTTTTCAGGCTGTTTAGCATCCTCGCATGGAAGATGATGCGGGATTCGGATTGGACTTTGGACCGCTGCCGCACAGAAACGGCCAGCGCACACATGATATGGCGTAGTAGAAATACGCCCGGGGTTGACAAAGATTCAATATATCACCCATGAATTACAAACATGACGGCATAGCCGCTCCCAAACAATTGCATTTATCCCGAGATTTTGGTTTCGTGAACAGCAGTTTCCCCCCCCCCCCCCCGCTTGCAGTCTGGGCCAGTCTGAGTTCCGGGTGGGTGGTCGAGAACGGTTGACGCTAGCGGTGAGCTTACCTCCTCAGTTGATGCCCTCGTGATTTCGAATGCAGCCACGGGTCTGAAATGGATTGCATTCAGCTTCACATGCGAGACATTGGACATGCTTGCGCTGCGGTCATCTAGACGGCCCCAATGTCAATCTGCCCCCTGGTTTTTGTTTTCTGGTCCCCTTTGCTTTCATGGATTCTCGAAGAGGGACGCATTCAATTACGTTCCACCGCCTGTGCCGAGTTCAAATTTTTTTTTTCCACCAAAAACCACTTAGTGCCTCCTCCTCTGCCCTCTTACCCTAGTGGTCTCGAGAGGGAGTGCGTCGGTCTGGCGCGACGATGCACGTCTGGGTACGCGAGAGTTTATCGGCCTCCATGTTCACGATATTGCACCGATGGACGTGAGAGGAACCAAGAGCCCACCCCCCCCTCCTCCCCCGCAGACATGAGTCGGGTTGTTTACATCTTGCCACAACCTTATCACAAGAGGGGGGTGTGTGTGTGTGCGTGCGCGACATATGCACAGGAGGCCTTTTCACTTCTTAATTTACTTGTTGTTTGATGTTACTGGGGGAAGGGGAGGCATAAAAAAGAGAAAAAAGAAAAACACGTCCCCTTCCTCCCTCAACCCGGGCTTGAGAGGGGGAGAAAATCGTGATCGCAGGCTGGCGGACTGGTCGCAACGGTATTGTCCGCGGCGGGGCTTGTTATGTGCCGACAATGGCTTGCAGTTAGAATTAGCAGAGAGAATGGGTTTTGGATTACCGAAGGCGGATGACGCGGGGAACGCCGTTTATGGTGTATGCATTCTGCAAACCGGAGACGGGGCTTTTTCCTCACCTCCTTCTTGAATCTTGAACGGGGAAAAGGCCAAGGGGGGTGGCGTGATGAGAGAGACACTCATGGAAGAGAGAGAGATTCAAATGCGCGGGCTGGGACGGAAGGACGGACGGAACGGGGATCGCACGGGGGGAAGCAGACAGGCGAGACTAGCGGTCGACGACGCCGGGTGCTGGTGAGTGGATTCGGAGAAAAGGCCCAGGCCTTTGGGGCGGTTTCTGATCTGGGAGGGAGGGGCGGTGGGCGAGAGGCCAAATCATCTTTGCTGCTCTAATTTACCTACCTAAGTACGTACGTACGGATCTAGCAGGCCTAGAAGGCTAAGGGTTCGCCGACGGGCACCGCCCTTCCGAGGGTTTCGGGCGTTCATCTTGGAGTTGTTGAAGAAGGCGAGGGCTTGTGGGGGATCCCGGAAAAAATGGGCCTTCGTCGTTCCCACGGGAGGCGTTTCGTTTCTGCTTCCAGAGCGGGAAATTTTGACTGGAATGCGGTTCATGACGTCGTGGAGGGGGGGGGAGGGGATAACCAAAATGCTCACTGTGGCATGTATAGTGTAAATCAAAAGAAGGGTTTGCAACATCCTTTCGTCCGCGTCTGTTTTCTTTCCCGCGGTCGACGAATAACGGTCTGGAGACGAGTGCAAAACGAAGTTTTGTCAAACTGCCATGCCATGCATGGCAGATTGGGTGGTTATAGAACAAGGTTCCGGAATGCAGCATGCAAGCTCCGTCACTGACAAGTGTCACCATTAGGGGTACAATCTGGACACGTTCTTCGATAAGGGTTGGGTAGGGAGGTATTGCACGGCGAGGAGGGCGGTATACCGTCTCGTCTCCTTCGATCCTTATGCCTGCTTAGGCGTTCTGGCCTTGAGGACGGGACGCGAGGATCTTGCCTGTCGGCAACGGTACACGTGTGTGCTCCGTACGGGAGGAATCCTCGACCTGGTAGGTGAGGAAAACCAACAGCCGTTGTCGTTGCAGAGGCACCGCATCCTTGGCCATTTTTGGGCTTTGGATGTGGACGTATACCCGTTGTCCCTTTAGAGGAGGGGGAAAAGTCGGTCAGGGGGTTCGCCAGAGGGGCGTGTGTGTGTGCGCGGTATGGGATATGTGGGCGTCGTCGGGCGTGCAACATTCGTTGGAGGATGAGGCTGGGGGGGGGCGATGGCAGGAATCAGGATCTAGTTAGGCTCCGACCCCACATCGGCGAATCGTGTTTACTATGTACTATGTGCATCATTGCTAAAGCGGGCGCTGGGCAGTCATTCGTGAAAGTGGATGAAGTTTCCGATCATGTCCACAGTCCACGATCGTGTCGATGAAGGATGGTTCGCAGAGGTAGCCATCATACCCTTAGTGCCTAGGGGAGGCCTGCCCGTGTCGTGCGTGCTGCCTGGGTGAGGGAGGAACTCACCGTGGCTGGCTGGCCGGCGGGCGGTCGGGGCGGGTCTGTAGTCCGGATCGGGGGCTGGGGATGAGTCACGAGGTCGGAGCCAATAAGCTTGGCGGTCGGATGCCTGTCTACCTATTGAGAGGTTGAACCATTCCCGCAATATGCCACCTGTGCCGCTCGATGTGCGCAATGCATTACGGAATCTCCTTGCTGTTGGTTCACGTGTATGCCTATCAGCTTACCCAACGCCCGTGGTGCCGCGGTTTTTGGGCATAACCGCGCCCCCCTTCCCCCTCCCGGATTCGTAGATGGGGCCAATTCACAGGTCGCTTCGTGCACAGGTCCAGTCCACCCACCCGAATCCCTGTCTGGTAGCCCGAGGTCCCGCCACACACGGCCGCGTTGCAAGCCCCGAGTGCTCCGTCTGGGCAAACCGCGAACTGGGTCTGCTGCGGGCATCATCGTTCAGACTCATTGCCGACGTGGCTCTCACAATTCATTCATTTCCCTTGGTCACACGCGCAGCTCTTCCAACAAACCCGAGTAGCTGTGTAAAATCATGCTTGCCCGCGCCACTTTGTTCCGAGGCTCTATTAAACCTAACAGCCCGCTGAGCGGTGCTGCGCCGGCTCAGCCCCACGAATACCAACGGGAGGATGGTCGAGGGCGTCGTCGCATAGTCACCAGTGCTTTTGTGTTTTCTTGGCGACACAAGCATGGGAAACATTCTCGTTGCCTGCCATTACAAAACCTTAGGGTACACTATTCCTAAACCATTGCGGATAGGGTGAAGCTGGCGCAGCCCGTATATGGTACCCAGAAAACCGGATCACAGGTAAAGACGCCGAAAGTATGTTGATCGACCCGCCATTGGCAATTACAGAGGCTTGGCACCGTGTCCAACGCGATGTTTGTCGATTATGGTCGTGAAGTGTCAAGGGCATGCACAGCCTCAGCGGTTTGTCCAGTCTCGGCACAACCTTGGCTCGAACCGCGTTTCTTATCGACAAGCTCGATAGGCCATCTTGTTTCGGATATGTTCGCGTTGTTCGTCGGTCAAATATCCTGTGACCCGGACGATTGGAAGGTGTGTGCCCTAGCGAGTTCCTACCAAGTCCCTCTTGGTGCCCCTGCATAGATGCATAGACGATTCACAGTCGGACGCAAACAGGGCATTCTTCAGGGCCATTTCGGATGCCGGCACAATATAAGGTTGCTCGTGGACCAGTCCCTGCGTGTGGCATATCCACTCACCTTGTGGGCTCCGTCCTTCCCCAGCACCATCGCCCAGGTACAGGATAGGCGGCGTGCTGCACTCTCCCGCACGATCTCGAGAACCAAAGGGACCTGGATGGCCAGCAATTTGCTCACAACGGCAACTCAGGCTCGAACGGCAGGTTCCGAGATCGACAGGAACGACAGATCCGTGGGGGAGGGTTGGACTGCTTAGGTGGGTGTTCCAAGTGCTTACAACTTAAGTAGAAATCGGAAACCGAGTGGATCCAACTGCGGCTAGCGGTTAGCGCATTGCGGAGAGAGACGCTTAGGCGCTGCCGGCCAGATTTGCAACTGAATTTTGTAGTGTACACCACACACCATGGCATATCAGCTTAGGTGCTGGTTCATGGGCGAAGATGGAATGCCGTCGGAAGCTTCACGTCGTTTCCTGGCAGGTCCATGCCACAAGCGCGCTCAGTTTGGCGTGTCAACGTGCCTGCCATGCGCCCCTGAAGGCAGCCGAATGAAACTCGAACAGACCTGTTTTGAGCAGATTACGTCAGAACTTGCGCTTTTTGTGCCTGAACCACAGTGCAGTCACAGTGCTCATGTCTCCAAACCATATACGATAGGACAGTGTGTATACTGTTTCTATCGAGGAGCGTAGTGGACAGCTGACTTCAGCACCTGAGAAATTCTGCACCGCACAAAACGCGCACCCAAAAGAGGCAAGACCGAAATCTATCAAGCATTTCAAAGCAGCACAATTGCCGCCAAGTTATTTTAAAAAGTCAAACCGATGCGCAGCAATGGCCAGGCACCAGATATGAAACAGTAGATTCCATTTTTCCTGGTGCTTTTAATCCATCTCCTCCCCCCTGAGCGGAATCGGTGCGTGCACGGTCAGACAGACATTGGGAAAAATCGGACACGGGGCTTTGGAGCACAAACAACATCATCCATCATCCATTCTTTCCCCATCAACCGACCCTGAAATTCTGCTTCATTCCATCATCAACTCGAGAGTCTCCTGTATACCTACTGTACAGAACCGCAGGAATACTCATCATAGGGAAGGTAGCCGCTGACGCCTGACCGGAGGGGGCATCTTTCTGCCGCCCATTCAACCACCTGATATCTTTCCGTCACCCTTTCGGTAAGCTCGTACTCGCCGACAGCTATCTCGCTACATTCCTAGCAGCTGTCCAGCACCGCGCTCCCATCCCTTGTGTACCGTGCCTGTCGATTCCTTCGTATATCAGGCGCAGATACTATAGCGACAACCACGACCACTATCACAAGACACTTGACTGACCAGTTTGCAGACCTGTCACTATGGACGACGGAAGGAGCTCCCGCATCACTACTTCCTTCCTGCTGGCGAACCTACACTGTCCGTCATGTGTCTCGTCGATCCAGCAGGCTCTTCAGGAATCGTCTAGCCACGATGTCATCTGGGTTTCACCAAACGTTGTAACTTCCGTCGTCACCATTGAACACAGACACACGCCAACCCCTGACATCACCATCCGATGCATGGCCAAGTCACTTCAAGATGCTGGCTTTGAGATCTGCGGTGTCACTACCACGGCTGCTACCGACACGGACCTGGAGGCAATCACGCAGAGCCAGCCACGACCCGTGGTGAATGCTCCCGCTCACGGCAGTGCCCTTGACGGGCTGCTTTCCTTCTCGCCTAGATGGTCTAGGGAATCACCTGAAGCGCAGCGGGAGGCCCATCTTCTCAATTGCAAGCAGTGCCGTGAATCCGAGGACTCGTCTCATAGCGAGGACCCGTCTCATTGCGCGGATCGAGGTGCGCCATCTCATACAACACCGCAACAGAACGGCCTGCGAAAATCAAGTAGCAAAAGCAATGGCGTTGCCACTGTGAGGGACATGGCATCAAACGGCACAAAATGGAGAGCGACCCTCTCTGTCGGCGGCATGACCTGTGCATCTTGCGTAAACACCATTAGAGAGGAGTTGAACAAACGGGATTGGATCGACAGTGCCGCCGTCAACCTGGTCACCAACAGCGCCACGGTCGACTTTGCTGACAAGTCCAACACCGCGAGGATCGCCGAGGCCATTCAAAATATGGGGTATGATGCCAACCTCGACGCTCTCACAGAACTCACCGACAATGCCGATGGAGACAGTGAAGAAGACGGCGAGAGCAAAAAGTGGAGGTTGACTGTAGCCATCGGCGGCATGACGTGCGCCTCCTGTGCCAACACCATCACAGAACAGTTGAATAAGAAGGATTGGATCTCCAATGTCTCGGTAAACCTGGTTGCGAACAATGCCACGATCGACTACACCCTTGAGGGCAAGCAGGACGAGATCGTCCAGTCCATCGACGACATGGGATACGACGCCACCCTGGATACCGTAACGAGGGTCAGGTCTGAGGAGAAGGGCGCACAGCAGCGAACTGTCCAGATCCTGATCGAGGGTTTCTACTGTCAACACTGTCCCAGCCGAGTGACGCACTCTCTCACATCCTTCACGCATCAACTGAAGGTCGTTTCTCAGCCTACTCACGAGAAGCCTCTGGTTACCGTCAGATACACACCCGACGCCCCGTCCTTCACCATCCGGCACATTCTGTCCGCCATCGATGCCGCCGACCCTTCGTTCAAGGCGTCCATCTACCACCCTCCCAGTCTCGAAGAACGATCCAAACTCATCACCCAAAAGCACCAACAACAGCTTCTCCGACGAGTCTACTTGACTTTCCTGGTGACTATTCCCACTTTCATCATTGGAATCGTGTACATGAGCCTGGTTCCCGACTCGGACCATGGCAAGCATTACCTCATGAAGCCATGGACTTCGGGTCTCAACCGAGCGCAGTTTGCCCTGTTCGTCCTCGCCACGCCTGTTTACTTCTTCGGAGCCGACGTATTCCATACCAGAGCCGTCAAGGAAATCAGGAACTTGTGGCGTCGGGGAAGTAAGACGCCCATCCTTCGACGTTTCTACAAGTTCGGAAGCATGAACATGCTCATGTCTCTCGGCACAACCATCGCCTACGTCTCGTCCATAGGCCAGATGATTTCTGCTGCTATCAGCAAGCCTGTCGAGATCGACGACACTCACTTCTACTTCGACTCGGTCGTTTTCCTTACGCTGTTCCTCCTGCTGGGCCGTTTGATCGAGTCTTACAGCAAGTCTAAGACAGGTGACGCTGTTGAGATGCTGGGCAAACTGCGTCCGACCACTGCCATTCTCGTCACCAAAGATTCCATTGGAAAGACCACCGACTCGATTGTTGGCGTTGACATGCTCGAGTACGGTGACATCGTTCGCGTGCCCCATGGCGCTTCGCCTGCGGCAGACGGCATTGTAGTCCAGGGAGAGAGCAGCTTCGATGAGTCTAGCTTGACGGGCGAGTCCCGGTTGATCAAGAAGATTCCTGGCGACGAGGTCCATGCAGGCACTGTCAACAAGGACTCTGCCATTCAGATTCGCATCACAGGTGCTGCTGGAGCCTCCATGCTGGACCGGATTGTCTCGATCGTTCGCGAGGGACAGACCAAGAGGGCGCCTATGGAGCGCGTCGCTGATGTGCTAACGGCGTACTTTGTCCCTATCATCACCCTGATTGCCGTTCTCACTTGGCTCACCTGGATGATTCTCGGATACGCTGGTGTTGTTCCCGGGCGGTACCTTGACTCGGAGAGCGGATGGGCAGCCTTTGCTCTGCAGTTCGCTATCGCCGTCTTTGTTGTTGCTTGCCCTTGTGGTCTGGCACTGGCGGCTCCGACGGCCATCTTTGTCGGTGGTGGTCTCGCTGCGAAGCATGGTATCCTCGCCAAGGGAGGAGGAGAGGCTTTCGAAAAGGCCAGCAACGTTGACGTTGTCGTCTTCGACAAGACTGGTACACTGACCGTAGGCGGAGAGCCCAAGGTCACCGACTCGAAATTATATCTCGACGCAGAAGACGGCACGAGCCTGGAGTCTAGCATGGTCTGGGCTACCTTGCGAGCAATCGAGGAGAACAGCAGCCACCCGGTGGCAAAGGCGATTGTGTCGTTTTGTACCACACAGACCGACGCTTGGGTCCACGTCGATGACCTCCAGGAGCTCCCAGGCAAGGGTATGAAGGCGACGAACCGCGGAGAGAAGCCCGAGGAGACTTTCGACATGATTGTGGGCAACGAATCTCTCATGCGCGATCACGCTGCCGACTTCGCTGAACATGTTTCTCATCAGCTTCAAAAGTGGAAGAGTGAGGCCAAGTCGGTCGCTCTGGTGGCTGTCAGACCTGCCATGGCCAAGCCCGACGCCCGCTGGACCCTCGTCGCAGCCTTGTCCATTTCCGACCCCATTCGCCCGGAGGCAGTCCGCATCGTCAAGGCGCTCCAGGAACAAGGAACCCGCGTCTGGATGCTCTCCGGCGACAACGTCGTCACCGCCAAGGCAGTGGCCAACCTTGTGGGCATCGACCCGCAGAATGTTCTGGCCGAGGTCCTTCCTTGGGAGAAGGCGGACAAGATTACGTACCTGCAGACGGTCCTCAAAGCACGCGTCGGGCGAACCCGCGAGCATGCTAAGAACCGCGCAATGGTCGCTATGGTCGGTGACGGCATCAATGACTCCCCCGCGCTGACCAAGGCCGACGTCGGTATTGCCATAGGAAGCGGCAGCGACGTGGCCATCTCGAGTGCGGACTTTGTCCTCGTCACCAGCGACTTACGCGCGGTCGTGACGCTGCTAGAGCTCAGCCGAACGGTGTTTAGGCGCATCAAAGTCAACTTTGGATGGGCAGTCATCTACAACATCCTCGCGATCCCAATTGCCGCGGGATGTTTGTATCCGGTTACGACGAGTGGGGGGCAGCATGTGCGTTTGGACCCGGTTTGGGCTAGTCTGGCAATGGCATTGAGCAGTATCAGTGTGGTCCTGAGCTCCTTGGCCTTGAGGAGTAAAGTCCCATGGGTAGGGTTCCGGGCGAAGAAGATCGAGTAATAGAGGGTGCACTATTGCGTTTGTATTGATATAGAGCAGCTGTACAGTAGATTCAATCGTGAGAAACATCAAGTTCTGACTTGCGACATGCGTCCCAGGGATATATGAGAAGACATTGTTGGGCACATGTGCCGATGACTAGGTTGCTCATTCTAGGATCTTCTCTACTAAATATGTTCAAAGTAAGAAAATGTGGGCGCAGGCAATAGCCAGTTAGGCCGTTGCCCAGGCAGAAAAAAAAAGGAGTAAAAAGAAGAAGAAAAAAGATAATATGGTTACAGGAAAGAGAACACGCGTGCTGGGGCAGATGCTGCTGTACCGACTTGTCTTTGCGTCTCTTTCGGGGCGAACGGGCGAGGAAACAGGCGCTGCGCTGCTCAATGACTTTGTTGCTACAAATGCTTCTGACATATTTGTTTGCTCCGATCAAAGGTTGCAACTGAGCCGAGAATACGACGGACAAAGAAACGAGCAAGATGAAGCTGAGGTGTAATGGCGTCTCGTCTTCTTCCTTGACGTTAAATGGTGTCGGAGGTATTACCTCGAAGCAACCCGCTGAGTCACCTAACACGGCATCTAGTCAAAGGTAGTAGCACTGGAGACCCCGTAGAAGTTGCGTTTGATCCCCTTCCAACTTCATTTCGTCTGGCACTTGGGAGCCCGACAATGGCTATCACTCATAAACACCACATTTTTGGATCCGTTTGGATTATTGGGAATCCAGGTGTTGAGCATTCGTCGCATCATCAAGTACAGAGGGGATTAGGCGAGGTTGGTCTCGCCGGGAGCGGAAGCCGGTACCGTCACCGAGCGGGTACCGCCTGCCCGAGAGCCGGGCCGGGACGACCGACAGCCTTGAGGACTGCGAGGTACGCCCCGGGAGGAAGGGTTGCCACCGAGGAGTGTCGAATCTGGGGGCGAAAGGCCCGCAACATGAGGCTTTGCATTTCCGGCCGGTCGAGCACGCAATCGCGAAGCCCAGACCAGATGGGTTTGGTAATCCAAGTGCCACCGATCCGGGGGGGGGCTTGAGTGGATCGGAAATGGTGCAATGTGGGCCCGTCGCATGTGCAGCCGGGGCGCTCATTGGCGCGCGATGGCGCAATTGTTCCTTAGTCGCAATTCTCTAAGCTTCACCAAGTTCCCAAACGCCGAGTTTCGCACGCCAAATTGAAAAAAGTCCACGAGAGAGTGTAAAAGAGTGAGAGAGGCAGACGCCAACGGGCGCTGCGCAAGGCCCGGTCCCCTGTTGCTTTACAAATAGCCATGCTCTTTTTCCTCGGTACTCGGTGGTTACGCGTGGAGAGGTAGGTCCGGCTAAAGGGCCCCCCATCCCTTGTCCCGTCATCTCTTTCGTTTTTTTTTTTTTGGTTTTTGTTATATGCTTGGATCCTGCTCAGAGTCCATCGAGACTATACTTCATCGCTCACTCGCACCTTTCTCTTTTTCCTACCACAAACCTCAAGGTCCTCCCTCCTAGGAACGAAGAAGCTCCTTTTGGCTCTCGTTCGGGTTGGCGCAAGTGAAGCTTACTTGCTCTTGAGTGTGCCAATCGCTTCTGCAGCCACCATTCTTTTACAAGTGGTAAGGTTCTATCTCCTGGTCCTTCGTACATCTTGGGCCATCTTCAGTCGCATTGTCTTCGCTTGTTTCGTCCCAACTTCCTGTCTAGACAACCTCCCAATATGCAATTCAAGCAACAGGAGAGCAACGGCTCCGCAGCCGTGCTCGACGCCCCCAAGTCGCAGACTTCCTCCGCCTCCCAGAACAAGGTCTCTTCCACCCTCCCGTTCGGCCAGCCTGTGGCCCTCTCCTCCATCTCCGGGCCTACCTATGTGACGGCCCAGTTGCTCGTCCAGCAGGTCGCCTTTCTGCTATCCGACAAGATCTTTTCCTACTCGGCGCCGACCTTCGACCTCGACCTCGCCGCTAAGGCTTGGTCCGAGGCCAAGGAGCAGAACATCCACGGCGAGACCACCGACCTTGTCCAGCTGCAGACCAGGACCGGTGCTGGTGCCCTCGCCCTGGGCTACATCTTCAGCCCGGACTTTGACCTGGCCAAGAGGCACCTGCCCCAGACCCTGCTCGCTCCCAGCTTGAGCTTGAAGAACCTGCGCGGCGCGTTGGACCAGCTGAGTCTGCTGTACGGTGTGGCCCCGCCCTTTGTTGCCCACGTCGCGGCACTCGACTACGATGCCGCCAACGGCCTGGTGCCCGACTACGACACTGCTCTGCGGACCGCAGAGGACCTGGGTCTCGGTCTCGTCGCCAGCTCCAGCGCCTACGAGACGCAGCACATGGCGCTCTTCGCGACCCTCATGGCCGCCCTGATGCCCACCCTGCACATCTACGACGGTGTCAGGCTCGCCCGCGAGACCTCGCGTATCGTCGACGCCCTTGGCCGGAGCGGCATCGCGGACCTGTATAACAGCATCACCTCCGAGTCAACCGGCGTCAGCGAGAGGGCCGCCATCTCCTCCAAGGTCGCCGACCTCCTGGACGTCTTCAACAAGCACCTCGACCCCACTGAGGACCACGAGAGCCAGCACACGGCCCTTCTGGCCACCCTCATGACCGCCCTCACCCCCAATCTGGGCGTTGAGGACGGCGTCAAGCTGGCCAAGAAGACCCTCGAGGCTTCTGACGCCCTGAACAAGAATGGCGTCGCCGAGACGTACAAGAAGATCTCGTCCGAGGTCCAGTCCCTGAACAAGAGGCTCGATGATGCCGGCAAGGTTGTCGAGCTCCTGAGGCTCTTCAACAACGAGCTCGGCACCGCCTACAACCTGTTCGAGTACCACGGACACAGCGACGCCGAGGCCGTCCTCGTCGTCTTCGGCAGCGCCGAGGCCCAGCTCGCGAAGCAAGTCGTCGGCCGCCTGGCCGTCGATGGCGTCAAGGTCGGCGCCGTCAACGTTCGCGTCTACCGCCCCTTTGTTGAGGAGGCATTCCTCGCCAGCATCCCCGAGTCCGCCAGGACCATTGCTGTCCTGGGCCAAGTCAAGGATGAGCTGTCCGTCAACGACGCCTCTTTGCAGTCCGCCCTCTACACCGACGTCCTGGCCTCCGTCTCCTTCTCCGGAAAGTGGCGCCAGGACCCCGCGGTATCGGACGTCAAGTACACCGCCTCGGAGGCCCTGACTCCCCAGGCCATTGCCGACATCTTCGGCAAGCTCCTCGACGCCAACGCCGAGCCCAAGCCCTTCCCGGCGCTCGTCCAGGCCCACCAGTACACCTTCTGGGATGTCGACAGCTCCGTTGCTGCCGACGCCCCCGCCGTGGTTAGCAACCTGCTCTCACGCGAGTCCACCAGCAATGTCTATGTCCACGAGTCGTTCGACAACCTGCTCCAGGGCGGCGTCGTCCGCACGGACATCCGCAGCTCCAAGAAGGCCATCGAAGCCCCGTACGCCGTCGAGGAGGCTGACGTCGTCGCCGTTGGCGACGAGAAGCTTTTCAAGGACCTCGACATTCTCAAGAGTGTCAAGGCCGGCGGCAAGCTGCTCCTGAACCTCCCTGGCTTCAAGGAGGAGGACCTCGAGAAACGTCTCTCTGCCGTCGTCCTCAAACAGGTCCGGGACAAGTCGGTCGAGCTTTACGTCCTCGACACCACCCAGTCGACCGTCTCGAAGGAAGCCAAGGCTGTCAAGGTCCTGTTGGAGTTCGCCTTCCTCCAGATCGCCCGCCCCGATATCACCGCCGAGGAGGTCGCCAAGGTCGCCCTCCCCGAAGGCTTCGCTCTCTCCCTGACTGAGATCCAGGAGGCCCTCGGCCAGTCTCTGCGCAAGGTGGATTCCCAGGCCGCCTGGGCCGAACTGCCCGCGGACGTCGTCGCCAGCCCCCTCCCCGCGACCATCAAGCCCAACAGCTTCGTCGGCTTCGACAAGGAGGAGGCCGAGGAGACCTCCCAGCTTGTCGACTGGCAGTCTGTCGCCAAGGGACTCGCCTTCAAGGAGGCCTACGGCACGCAGACCTCGCTCCGCCCGGAGCTCCCCGTCAAGACGCACACCATCACCGTCAAAGAGAACCGCCGCCTCACCCCGCAGACCTACGACCGAAACATATTCCACATCGAGTTCGACCTCGGTGACTCGGGCCTCACCTACAACATCGGCGAGGCCCTCGGCATCCACGCCGAGAACGACGAGGATGAGGTCCGCGGGTTCATCGAGTGGTACGGTCTCGATCCGGAGGCTGTCGTCCAGGTGCCCGCCCGCGAGGATCCGACCGCCCTCGAGACCCGCACCGTCTACCAGTCCCTGAAGCAGAACATCGACGTCCTCGGCAAGCCGCCCAAGCGCTTCTACGAGGCCCTGTCCGAGTTCGCCACGGACGAGCGCGAGAAGGCCGTCCTGGCCAGCCTCGGAGGCGCCGAGGGTGCCGTCGACTTCAAGAAGCGCGCCGAGGTCGACTACGTCACCTACGTCGACATCCTCCAGGAGTTCCCTTCTGCTCACCCCGCGTTCCACGACCTCGCCCGCATCATCTCCCCGCTCAAGCGCCGCGAGTACTCCATCGCATCCGCCCAGGCCGTCACCCCCAACTCCGTCGCCCTCATGATTGTCGTCGTCGACTGGGTCGACCCCCGTGGCCGCAACCGCTTCGGCCACGCTACCCGCTACCTCTCCGCCCTCCCAGTCGGCGCCACCGTCGTCGCCTCCGTCAAGCCCTCCGTCATGAAGCTGCCCGCCTCCCCCAAGGCGCCCCTCATCATGGCCGGCCTCGGCACCGGCCTGGCGCCCTTCCGCGCCTTCGTCCAGTACCGCGCCCTGCAGAAGTCCCGCGGCGAGGAGATCGGTTCCATCCTGCTCTACCTCGGCTCCCGACACCAGCGCGAGGAGTACCTGTACGGCGAGGAGTGGGAGGCCTACGTCGACGCCGGCGTCATTACCCACCTCGGCGCCGCCTTCTCCCGCGACCAACCTCGCAAGATCTATATTCAGGACCGTATGCGCGAGTCCATGCGCGACGTCGTGCAGTCGTACATCCGCGACGAGGGCAGCTTCTACCTGTGCGGTCCTACCTGGCCCGTGCCCGACGTCACCGACGTGCTGATGGAGGCCATCAACACCGAGGCTAAGATGAGCGGCAAGAAGGTCAATGCCCGCAACGAGATCGAGAAGCTTAAGGAGGATGGCCGCTACGTCCTCGAGGTGTACTAGAGTGCTCTCCCCTTCCGCTGGGGATGTTACTGGGGTGGTTAGTTGTAATAACTGCATTGTGTATATATCATCTCCGGCCATCAGTCGAAAAAAGTTTTTCTTGCGTATCAGCCTCTGTTTTGAATCGAGCACTTTTACTGCTTCAGTTTCGGGGTCGATCATTTTGATAATGCGTGATGAAATGTTAGCACAAGAGTTCCCTGGTACCAGTCCTCAGCACCGCAGCCCAAGCAGGACAACGCAACGTAAGCCAGCTCTCCTTTCTCGTTACCCAAGATCTCGTGATCATATCCGGCTCCCATGCTCTGCAGTTCTCGACAGTTCTCACCAACATCATGAGTGCACCAAAGCATCCTCAAACAAGCCCCTCAACTGCTCCCTCTCCTTCTCCAACTCCGTCTCCAATCCCGGCGCCAACATCAACACCCTGGCCTGAGGGATCGTTCCCTCCACCAGATCATCCAGGTGCTGAGTGCCAAAGCCCAGCTCCTTGATGCCCGCCGGCTGATCACCGAGGTCTGCGAGGAATTTTGTCAACGCGTCAGCGAGCACCGCGCCGGCGTCCTCTTTGCGGACACGCGAGATGTCTACACCAAAGACCTCGGCGGCCTGCAGGTGGCGCTCCGGATTGGAGGCACCTGTAAAGCGGAAGACGGCGGGTGCGGTGACGGCAACGGAGACACCGTGGGGGATGATGGGGTAGGAAACCTTGTAGCCAGCATGCTGGTATCCTGGGTTCTGACCCGAAATGGGGTAGGACATGCCTGGAGGCTCGAGTTAGCTACGGTCACTCTGGGGTGCTTCGAAGCAAAATACCGTGACAGAGGTGGACGCCGGCGTTACCGAATCCAACACCAGCCAGCGTCGCAGCGAGAAGCATCTCGCTCTGCGCCTCGTAATCATCTGGGTTCTTGACGGCACGGGGAAGGTACTTGACTGTAGCCCTCAGCGCGTGGAAGGAAAAGACATCACTGATGGGGTTGGCGCCCTGGTATGCCGGCCGCAAAATGGGATTCTTGGGCCGGGGCACACGCTCGTGGTAGGGGATGGCAGTCCAGGACTCAAGAGAATGGCAGAGCACATCGAGGCCCGAGGCCGCCTTGACGGCGGCGGGCATGGTACGAGTGTTGAGCGGGTCGCAGATGCCAAGCGTGGGCTTGAGGTTGCGGTGGGCGACGCCCGTCTTGGCGCGCTTAGAGACAAGATCGAAGATCGCGGTGCCCGTGGTCTCGGAGCCGGTTCCCGCGGTAGTGGGCACGGCGATAAGGGGCTTTAGCGCTTTATCTACGGGACGTCCGTTGCCGAGGGGCGCGTTGACAAAGTCAAGGAAGGGGGCGTCTGGGTAGCAAGAGTACAAGTTCATCAGCTTGGCAGTGTCAATGACGGAGCCGCCACCGACGGCCAAGAAGGCGTCCGGAGAAAAGGGACGGGCCCAGTCAATGGCTTCGCGGATGCTGCTGTCCTTGGGCTCGACGCGGGTCTGATTGTAGACCTTGTAGTTAATTCCCTCGCTTTCAAGGGCTTCGCGGACCTGCTGCATGGCGAAGAGACCATCGATGACAGGGTCGGTGACCACAGCGACGCGCTTGGCGCCCATATTGGCGAAGTCCATGCCGACCTCCTGCGTAGAGCCCGGGCCGAAGCGAATAGAGGAGGCTGCCATCTCGAAAGCATACTCCTTCTGAGTTCCATCCACCGGTGTGGCAAAGCCGCGGCTGCTGTTCCTTGTTCGCAAGGGCCGCGGGGTGAAGTTCAATGGGTTATGGTGGTGGTGGTGGCCAGGGTTGGTGTGACACGGGCATGACGGGGGATGGGCCTGGATCGTCCGCAGAAGGGAGACGGCACGAGATGCGGCCTGGAGGCATCGTAAGCGAAAATCTGGGCCGGGAGTGGAAGAAACGTACGTTGGGAACGACTCGAAGTGAGGGCGTCATGTCTGAAGTAGATGCGTGTGATGGCAGTCAATGGTCTACGCGATATGTCAGATTTAGGTGTAAGGATTGTGGCCAAAGACTGCTCCCGGATTTGAGGTAAGGGACGAGAGACGAAAGGCGAGAGATAACGGCTCGAGGGGAATGTGAAGCAGCAACGCGCGATGAAAGGAGCGATGTCGGTCTTGACGCCATGCGCCTTCTCCGCACAGAGCGCTCAGACTAGTCGTGTTGGGACCTATGCCATGGCCAGCTTCCCCAGCTTGGAGCAGCTTCCCCGCATACTGACCCCACTTGCCGCCCGAGCGGTCAGTGTGGGTCTCCTTTGCCGAGGTATATATGTACCTCATTTCGCCCTGACACAAATCTCAACTCTGGGATAACATAAATAAGGCCTCCGAAAGCATACAGTAGAACTGTACGGTTCGACTCATTTGCATTACCTAACCCCGCTGGAAGCGCAAGCCGGTAACGTAATCAAAATTGATATCTTGTATCCGCAACGTTTCTCCAACCCACCTACCCAAAAGAGCTCGCCGAGCGGGTAAACTACGCGAGGCTGTTGTCCCCACGCCTTATTGGCCAATGGACCACAACGTACTCTCCGTGTGGTGATAAGCTATGAGTCAGATGTGGGTGTCAATTTGATCCTTCAGCCAGAAAAGTTGAGTTTTTGCAAGGAACGCGATGACTGTTCGGTGAGAATGAGTGGAAATCAAAGTATATATCGTACTGGTTGGTATAAAATGAGCCGCAACCCGACACAATTGTGATCGGAGGTTGAGGAGTTGAATTGCACGGCCATTTTCTTGCATCTCGGTATCTCAATATCATTCCAGCCAACAGCGTCAAAATGACCCTCCAGTCAACTCCCCGCGGCCGTATCCGCGATATCCTTCCGGATCTTCACCTAGGAACATGGCCAGCGGGACCCAAGAACTCCATTACGGACGTTCCAGGCGTGCTGGCCTCCACGCAGAGTATCCACACCGAAGACGGAGTCAACACCGGCGTGACCGTCATCGTCCCTCGCCGGAACTGGTTCAACCGGGCCTGCTATGCTGGTGTCTTTCGCTTCAACGGATCTGGGGAGCTAACCGGCTCCCATTGGATCGAGGAGACCGGCCTCCTTTCCAGTCCCATCGTACTCACCAACTCGTTCTCAGTTGGCGATGCCTATCGTGGCATCTACGAGTACGCCACAAAGCATTTTTCCAACGACAAAGGCGAAGTGGAGTGGTTCTTGTTGCCGGTAGTTGGCGAGACGTTTGATGGGTACCTGAACAACATCTCCAAGCTGGCGGTTAAATCATCCGACATTTTCAAAGGAATTGAGGCAGTGACAGATGAACCTGTTTCCGAGGGCAACACCGGCGGTGGCACGGGTATGATCTGCCATTTCTTCAAGGGCGGAACAGGGTCCAGTAGTCGTCTTGTTGAAGGCTTCGACAGCGAGGGCAATAAAAAGAACTACACCGTCGCCGCGCTCGTGCAAGCCAACTATGGAAGGGCAGGTCACCTACGTATCGGCGGCTTCCCTGTTGGTCGTGTACTCGAGAAGGAGAGAGCCAAGGCGCAGGCCGATGTGGCACGTCATAAGGACAAGAAGGATGGTTCCATCATCGTCATCATTGCGACCGATGCTCCTCTGACACCGATCCAATGCGAAAGACTTGCCAAAAGGGCAACGGTTGGTCTGTCGAGGGTCGGCGGCTATGGCCATAACCCCTCAGGCGACATTTTTCTTGCCTTCTCAACGGGAAATCATATTCCCGTTCAGAAGGAGATGGATAACCCTTTTAAGGCCAAGGCGCTGAAGATTGAGGCGATCGAGGACACCAGTATCAATGGACTGCTGGAAGCGGCAGCAGATTCAACGGAAGAAAGCATATATAACGCTTTGTGCTCGGCCGAGACAATGACGGGTTTTCGCGGACACAAGGTTGAGGCACTGCCTCTTGACCGGTTGAAGGAAATCATGAACAAGTATGATTCGTAAGATTCCATGGAGACTGCCTCCCAAAGAGTTCTTGTTCTTGAAGAAAGGAGACGAGGTTTTCCTGCCTCACTTCTAACTTCTTCCATGTTCTTCTAATTTATTATTTTGTTCACCCACCCTCTGTCATTTCGCATGCCTGAACATCGTCTCCTCTACCACCGCCTCGATTCAAGAATGTAACCCCCCCCCCTCCCCAGCTACTTGTGTCTGTCGACTCCTTTTCCCTTGCCGACGAGGCAGTCGTATAGCTCCTGGGCCATGAGAAGGAATATTCTCTGTCGAAGATGAATAACATCACTCATCAATTGCTCATGCCATGCGGCATCAAGGTGGTTTTCAGTGGCCGATGCCATGATGAGAATTGCATCAGCGACATCGTAAAAATACAAAACTTGCGACTTGAGGGCTTGGCGATTCGCTTTCCACACATCTGGAGCAGTTTCGTCGTTAGGTGGGATTGCTGTGACATTGATGTTCATGTTCAGACCGACAAGTATATGGTGAAGAACCCGAAGGCGGTAAGAGATGTGATTTCTGATTATTTTGTAAGACGGGACGTTTAGCATGGGGTATATTAAAGGTATCTCACAAAACGTGATATGCTTGAGCAATAAAGTCGGCAACTTTCTTTTCTTCATGGCTCTCAGACGGGCCGCAATTGTCTTGTTTCCTTTCCATTAGCAATATCTTGCTTTGAGGCAGTCTGACCGATGTCAGATGCTGTTATTCGGGCTGTGTGTTTTGTTGAAGTGTGGATGGCAATTCACATGGGTTGATCTGATTGAAAGATCCCTGGTTGGATAATATCTTAGAGGCACAGTTGTGAAGTTAGGCCTAGAGATGGATCGTTCTTTCCGGTTCTCTCCTCCACGTACCTACAACTGAAGTTGTTTCACAGTACACAATTTTCTCAATGAAGTAGTGAGGGAGAAAAGAGAAAAAGAGGAAAAAAAGTAGAGAGAGAGAGAGAGAGAGAAGAAGAAGGGGGAGGAATGATCTTATGTCTAGTGATGTGTCTAATATATGTTCCGATGAGGCAAGAGCTTCTCAGATGGTACTCGTATTGCAAAATCACAATTTTTCCATACTAATTAGAACGACTGTCATTCGAAAGTGACACTAAAAACTTGAAAGACCCTGGAACGGAATTTCTATTATTAAGGACGAGAGTTTCTGCCCCTTAGTCTGCGTCGTTCTGCCACTGAATCATGGATTGCTTATAGTTTACGTCTACATGCTCATTGAGAAGTTACTGTTGCTGATGGTTGATAGGAAGTTTTATCTGGTGTGATATATATTTGGCTTGATTGTGAAGTCCTAGGATCTGCGTGGCAGTAGAACTGAACAGCGAGCATCGGTAATAGTCCGGCTTTTATTAACCCCTGTACCAACAAAATCTGGTAAACCTTATTGTAACTTATCATATGTATATATCCAATTGGAAGATTTCAGCTCATAGAAAAAGCCCTTCTAAAACCGCAGTGGGAATTTGGGGTGAATGCGTGACTGGCATGCTCACCACTGTCCAACAGAAAATATGTACAGTGTCGTCCTTCTCAGCGAGAGATTTAATTTTGAAGTAGAAGAAATAGCACCATAAAATCGACACAGAAAGTCGTCCATTTGCTGGTAAAACTCTCTGATGATGACGTCTCGTACGACAAGTCTTTACGCGCAGCACCTCTTTGGCTTACACAGCAAGAAGCCAAGGTCGCTCGTAAGCAATGCTCTTTCAGAAACTAGGCTTACATAAGTTCAAGGTACAGCAAAGAGCTTTAAATAAAAGCCCTTGGCGGGTTGGTCGTTGTTATCACAGTTAGCTGGACCGGAATAGACATATTTCATCCCTCTCAAGTGGCAGTGCGAAAAAGACAGTGTCGTAGGAAGGACGACACGGTAAAAAGTACCCCTCCCCCACTCGGGTCACTGCCCCTCCATCCAGGGCGGTGAGTCAGGGCAAATGAGTCAATGGCACTACCCCGCTGTAACCAATGCACTGCTGCTGCCCCTCGTCCCAACTGGTAACTAATTTTTTTACAAAACTTCGACCGCGAGACGCAGGAAATTTTGGTGAGTCGATTCAATACCCGGGCATCCCATTCACAATACCCAACTTCTCCACGGCATCGTCTTTTATTGACAAGGTTTCCCGTGACACAGCAAATCGCAATCATGGCCGACCCCAGCGCTTCCGAGACCCCCACCGAGCAGGTCAAGGAGACCGTCAACCTTCTCAAGGACGATGTCACCGGCGAGATGGTATCCAAGACGGAGCTGAAGAAGCGCCAGAAGGCCCGTCAGAGGGAAGCCGAGAAGGCCAAGAAGGCCGCTGCCGCCCCTCCCAAGCCCGCCGGCAATTCCAAGAAGGGCAACGCCGAAGCCGACGAGAAGAACCTGGACCCTAGCCAGTACTTCGAGAACCGGTCTCGCGCCATCAACAAGTGCGTGTTATTAAAGAGGCCTTCGTGCTACGTGCATTAGGACTGACGATATTGCGACAGACTGCGCGAGACTAAGTCTCCCAACCCTTACCCCCACAAGTTCCACAGTGAGATCTGCGCAACGTGACCCTGGGCGAAGTTATATACTGATCCCAATACATAGCTGACTACGACTTGCGCAACTTCGTCAAGGACTTCGGCCACCTCAAGTCCGGCGAGCATGACAAGGAGAAGGTTATCCGTGTGGGCGCTCGTATCTACAACAAGCGAGCCTCCGGCAACAAGCTCTTCTTCTACGACATCCGCGCCGAGGGCGTCAAGGTCCAGGTTATGGCCCAGGCGCAGGAGGTTAGAGAGGGCAGCCCGTCTTTCGAGGACCAGCACATTCACCTCCGCCGTGGTGACATTGTTGGTATCATCGGATACCCCGGCCGCACGGCACCCAAGTCCAAGATTGAGAAGGGTGAAGAGGGTGAACTGTCCATCTTTGCCACCGAGTTCGTTCTCCTTACCCCCTGCCTGCACACTCTCCCCGACGAGTACTACGGCTTCAAGGACCATGAAGAGCGCCACCGCAAGCGCTACCTGGATCTCATCATGAACGACAAGAGCCGTCAGATCCTCATCACCAGATCCAAGATGATCACCTACATCAGAAGATTCTTCGACAACAGAGACTTCGTCGAGGTTGAGACGCCCATGATGGGCCCCATTGCTGGTGGTGCTACCGCTGCTCCCTTCGTCACACACCACAACGACCTGGATATGACCATGTTCATGAGAATAGCTCCCGAGCTCTACTTGAAGGAGCTTGTTGTCGGCGGTCTCCACCGCGTCTACGAGATCGGTCGCCAGTTCAGAAACGAGGGCATCGATCTTACCCACAACCCCGAGTTCACCACCTGCGAGTTCTACCAAGCCTTCGCGGATGTCTACGACATTATGGACTTGACCGAGGAGCTGGTCAGTGGCCTTGTCAAGCATCTCACCGGCGGTTACAAGACCAAATTCCACACCCAGCACGGCGAGGTGTACGAGGTCAACTGGGAGAAGCCCTGGAAGCGCTTTGAGATGATCCCCGAGCTTGAGAAGGCCACGGGCGAGAAGTTTCCCCCAGCCGACCAGCTGCACACCGCAGAGACCAACGATTTCCTCCAGAAGGTTCTCAAGAAGATGAAGCTCGAGTGCTCGCCGCCCCTCACCAACGCCCGCATGATTGACAAGCTTGTTGGTGAGTACATCGAGGAGCAATGCGTCAACCCCTCCTTTATCTTCGGCCACCCGCAGGTCATGAGTCCCCTTGCCAAGTATCACCGCGAGACCCCCGGTCTGTGCGAGCGTTTCGAGGCTTTCGTGTGCAAGAAGGAGATTGTCAACGCCTACACCGAGTTGAACGACCCCTTCGACCAAAGACTGCGCTTCGAGGAGCAGGCCCGCCAAAAGGATCAGGGTGACGATGAGGCTCAGCTCATCGACGAGAACTTCTGCATGTCGCTCGAGTATGGTCTGCCGCCTACTGGTGGCTGGGGCATGGGAATCGACAGAATGGTCATGTTCTTGACCGACAACTACAGCATCCGTGAGGTGCTCGCTTTCCCCTTCATGAAAGAGGAGAAGCAAACTGAGAAGAAGGCTTCTGCCGCCGAGGTTGTCGGTGTCAAGCCCGTCCCTGAGGAGGGAATTCGTGAGTCAAACCCCCACCCCTTCGTCGTTATGAAACCTCGACTAAAGCCAAGTTACAGCCCACAAATAGAATATTCGTCCGGAACAATGGGATTGGATGTCAAGACAGATCGTCTTGTATGATTGTCTACTCGTGAGAGCACATCAAGTAACTACCAGTGATATCCGGCAGACATTCCATAGTCTAGGAGTTGAGCTTCTCTTTCAAAACAAAAAAAAATTGAGATAGGATAGACAGGAATTGCATAAAGGCCACCTCAAAGGGTCTAGCCGTGCCCATCCAACGTTTGGTATTGCCACAGTGTGTTGTTATACATATTTACTTGTGTGAATCAGGTGCCATAATGCAAATGCTGTTGCTGCCAGAGTGCAGCTAGCCAAGGCAACTGTAACTTTTAGAGATCGCTCAAACGAAAGCTTATTGGGACTTGGCAGACTTGATCCGCCTCTGGATCATGGCTAGCGTGGACTTGGGCACACGTAGGCGGTGGCCCAGAACCAAGGCGCCGGTGAGCAGTGCCAGGGCGCCGGCCTGGTGAGCCGCAGCCAAGGGGACGGGGACGATGTAGATGAGGGTGCTGATGCCGAGTGCGGCCTGCATCAGAACCAGGTGAACGGTGCCCAGAACACCCTTCTTCACGTCCTTGGGGAGAGCGGCAGCGACACGGCGGGTACGGGAGTACGCAAAGAGGGAGAGGATGGAGCACAGGGTGGTCATGGCAAGGATGCGGTGGTCCAGCTGGACGGTGCTGGGGTTCTCGAGCATGTTGCGCCACCAGAGGTCAGAGCCATCCTCCTTGCGGGAGTAGAAGTTGTCCCAGAGCTCCTTGGACGGTGGGGTCAGGCCCAGGCCCATGTAGGGGAACTCGTTGTAGATGAGGCCAGCGTCGAGGCCAGCGACGAGGGCACCGGACATGGCGGTGGTGAAGACCAGGGCGACGAGACCAAAGGAGAGGCGGCGGAATGTCTTGATGGCCGGATTCTGTAGCGCTGCAAAGGCCTTGGTGGCGGCGACGGGGTCAGCCAACAGACGGCGGGTGCGGAAGATGGAGAGGGCCGAGAGGAGCATCCAAGAGTAACAGATGAAGGCCGTAGAGAGATGGGCGGTCAGGCGGTACTGGGAGACGCGCGGATGGGATCCTGGAGCGAAAAGGTCGTCCTTGAGGCCCGACTTGACCATCCACCAGCCAATGAAGCCCTGGAAGCCGATGAGGCAGGAGATCCCACAGAGGTTGAAGGCCATCTTGGGGGTAACACGGCGGCGGGCGATGAAGTACAGGGTGGGCAGGACAAAAGACATTCCGATGAAGCGACCCCAGAGGCGGTGGGACCACTCCATGAAGTAGATCTTCTTGAACTCGGCCATGTCCATGTGTGGGTTGAGGAGCTTGAACTCAGGGGATGCGCGGTACTTTTCGAACTCGGATTCCCAGTCTTCGTGGTTTCGGGGCGGGAGGGAGCCGGTTACGGGACGCCATTCGGTGATACTCAAGCTGCGTTGGTGTTAGCTACAGGTCGCAGAAGTCATAGATGGGCCAATTATAGAAGGAGACATACCCAGATTCAGTCAACCTCGTGAGGCCACCCCAGACAACAATTCCAAAAACGCTGATGGCGCTGCCAACAAGCCAGTAGCCAACGGACTTGGAATTTGTCTCGGGCCACGCGCTCTTCTTAATGCCCTCCTTCGCCGCCGCGGCAGCCTGCTCGGCAATCGGGGAGGCCTTCTCGGCGATGGCATTACTACTGAAGCTCAACGGCGCCTTGGTCTGGTTGAAGCTTCGGATCTGCTGGGATCGTGCGATGCTGTCGATGATACGAGACGGGGACGAGCGCTGCCATTGAGGCTGCTGGCGCTGGCATTGTCGGCATACAGAGAACGTGGGAGATGCCCTCAGTGCGAGCCTCCGCAAGCTGGGTGCGAAAGACGCCATGTTGGGTGGTTGCTGTGTTGTGTTGTTTGCGCAACCGCACAGAGAAATGCGCCGGTGGTGTGAGGTTTCTGGGCGTGTAGATGAATCATCGAACAATTTATTCACAATGGAAATCCAAAGCAGCCGAGTGGCTCGGGGCTCCCTAACCAGTAAGTTCCGGGCTCTTTCGGCCTGCACGCTGTGGAAAGTAGGCCCACTCGTTCGATCGCAGGGTCCCCTGAACGCCGAAGGGCGGAACAGACAGGGGTCATTTCTACCCCACTGTAAATTCTCGTTCACCGCCCTGGCGCCCACCACGGCAGAATCAGAAAAAAAGTTGCCCATGCTCTTCTCAAACGGGTATGTGCATTGCGTGCGAGCGTTTGTGGCGGGACAAGTCAAGATTGAAGCCCACGACCACCCAACACGACCGCCTCCCCCGTTTTCCTCTTTCATAACGCACACACAAAATGCCCGGCAGACAATCCCACGGGCGGTCGCTGCTGGCCTCGAAACCGGCGCCGAAGAACTTGCGCAAGTCGAAAGCCAAGGCCCAGGCCAAGGCTCTCGACGCCTTCACCATTGCCTCTGAGCAGTACCCGACTAGGGAAAAACGCACACCGCGGTTTCGCGAAATCGTGGCAGCACCAGATACTGGGAAGAAGCACAGCCGAGAGAACGAGGACGAGGATGAAGACGAAGACGATGACGACGAAGAGCAGCCTAGGCGAAAGAAGGTAAAGCCCTCTGCTGGTGGTGCTGGTGGCGACGACTCGGATGAGTACGGCAGCGACAGTGAGGGGAACGAGTGGCATTATGGTGTGAATGAGGATGAGGATTCGGAGCTCGACAGTGACGAGGCATTCGGAGAGAGCGACGAAGAGGACTTCCAGAGTCATTCCTTTAGAGGCAGCAAAACTGCCAGGAAGGGAAGCCAGGTTTGTGGCGATCTGGAATTTATGTCTGCTGGCATTTGACTAATACCACGACTAGGATGATTCGGAAGAGGAGGACGATGACGACGATGAATCCCTTGGCGAGGATGCGATAGACCTGGCGCAAGCCCTCGACGAATACGAGTCCGACGAGTCCATGGCCGATCAAGATGGGGAGGACTCGGACGGCTCCGACGAGTCTGATTCGGAGGCCGAGAGCCCGCCATCTTCAGACGAAGACGACGACGAAGACCAGGAAGCCGATCCATCGAAACTCGGCGACCTCCAAAAATTCATCGCCGGTTTCGGCGGCGAAGACGACAAGGACACGGCTCCGACGAAGCAGAAGCAGAAGATCAACCTCAAGGACCTCGGGCTGTCGGGTGTCAAGGATGCGCAGATGCGCAAGTCGGTCAAGCTCATGGCGAAGGAGGAGAAGGAGACGTCGCGGCCGGGCGCAGGCAAGAAGCTCGAGGTGCCTCTGTCACGCCGGCAGCAGGACAAGCTGCAGCGAGCGGCGGCGTACGACAAGGCCAACGAGACGCTCACCCGCTGGCAGGAGACGGTCAAGCAAAACCGCCGCGCCGAGCACCTCATGTTCCCGCTGCCGCAGACCGCCACTGACGCGGGCCTCGACAACCACGAGCTGCAAGCCATCACGGCCAAGAACTCGGCGTCGGAGCTCGAGCAGACGATTCTTGGCATCATGGAGAAGTCTGGGCTCGCGATGAACAAACAGGAGGAGAACAGGATGAAGAAGGCCGAGGCGGAGGAAGGACTCTCACAGGAGGCGCTCAAGGACCTCGTTAACCAGCGCCGGCGCGAGCGGGAGCTCAATTCGCGGGAGGCCAAGCGTGCGAAGCGCATCAAGAAGATCAAGTCCAAGGCGTACCACCGCGTGCACCGCAAGGAGAAGGAGCGCGAGGAGATGAAGCTACACGAAGCCATGGCGGAGAACGGCGAGATAGACTCCGAGGCGGAGCGCGACGCGCAGGACCGCTCGAGGGCCCTGGAGCGCGTCGGCGCCCGGCACAGAGACTCCAAGTGGGCCAAGCTCGGCGCCGGCAACAAACGCGCCGTGTGGGACGACGACTATCGCGCTGGCCTGCACGACATGGCACGGCGCGAGGAGGAGCTGCGGAAGCGCAAGGAGGGCCGCGCGGGCGGCGACGACGAGGAATCGGACCGGTTCGCCGACGAGGGCAGCGACAGCGACGGTTCGGACGAGGAGGGTGGCGAACAGCGTAAGCTGCTGAGGCAGCTCGACCGCCTCGAGCAGGAGGATGATGGCCCTGCGTCAAACCTGATGAAGATGAAGTTCATGCAAAAGGCCGAGGCAGCGCAGAAGAAGGCCAACGACGAGCTCATCGCGCAGATCCGCCGGGACCTTGACTCGGACGCCGAGGAGGGCGAATCGGACGCGGAGATCGCCGAGGTGGGACGAAAGAAGTTCGGCAGCGCTGCGCAGCCAGCCATCGCGGCGCCCGCCCTATCGGCCAGGAAGCAGCAGCAGAAGAAGGTCACACGAGGCGACTCGGACGACGGCGACGCCCTCGACAACAGTGTCGTCAACACGGGCTACTCCCTGACCGCAGAGCCCTCGACGACAGGTTCAGCGTGGTCCTCGGGTCCACGCAAGAAGTCCGCCAAGACGGGCGGCAAGAGCGGCGGGCCGCGCGTTGAGGACCTAGACAACACCGTCGCCATGACGGCGGCGACAGTGGCCTCGTCTGGCAGGTCCAAGCCCTCCAAGTCCAAGCCGTCCGCCGCCGCCACCCTCGCCGACGAGGACTCGGACGACGGCTCCGACTCTCCGGACGTCCACCTCCCCCTCGCGATCCGCGACATCGCAGCCATGGACAGGGCGTTCGCGGGCGACGACGTCGTCGTCGACTTTGCGAGCGAGAAGGCCAAGGCCGAGATTGAGGACGACGACAAGATCGTCGACAACACCCTTCCCGGGTGGGGCGGGTGGGTTGGCGAGGGCGTCAGCGGCCGCGAGAAGAAGCGCCAGCAGGGCCGCTTCGTGACAAAGATCGAGGGCGTCAAGAAGGCGGACCGCAAGGACGCCAAGCTGGACAAGGTCATCATCAGCGAGAAGCGCATCAAGAAGGTTGGTTCCCCCTCCTCTTCCCCTAAACCTTCGGCTTTCCTGCTTTCCTTTCACAAGTTCTCTCATCATTTTTTGTTGGGTCTTGCTAATCGAGGATCCAGAACGATAAGTATCTCGCCACGCAGCTCCCCCACCCCTTCGAATCCAAGGCGCAGTATGAGCGCTCGCTGCGCCTGCCCCTGGGCCCGGAGTGGGTCACCAAGGAATCGCACCAGGAGGCGACGAAGCCGCGCGTTCTCAAGAAGCAGGGCATCATCGCGCCCATGTTGAGGCCGACGATTTGATGGAATGGAAAGAGCTGTCAAAAGAATTGATTGCATGTTAATGTACACTGCTTTGAACTCTCGAGGTCGCTGGTGTGGATAGAACTCTTTACGAAGGTATTCAGCGTGGTACCATAGGCGCCGTTGGCAATACAAAAAAGGCAAAAGATTTCCCGATACTCAGATAATATCTTATTTTTACCCTCATGCTTGTTCACTCATTTGATCGAAACACCTAGTTGAGACCGAAACAAATCGTCGTGTTCCCTTTCTCGTCTCTCTGCTCCTACTAATTTTACCGTTTCGCAAAAGAAACCTGGAATATGAGCCTCTCCAAATCCAGCCGAAGAAGTATAGTACAGTTTGCACTCAAGTACACAAAGAAATACACGGGGGGTGGATAGCGCAATTGTGGTCTAGGGAGTGGTTTGTTTGCTGACTTCAATTCAACAACCACGGTTGATAGACGACTTCGCAATAATGCAATGGATGCCAAGGCGCCCTACATGGGTATAGTGGGCCATCCTTAGTAAGTTGATTCTTGAGTTGCAAATCGCAACCCTGTCTCATCATCCTCAGCCCTTGGTTCCTTCAAAGGCTGACAACGGACAAGACCCTGTCCAACGCATCGCTCGGGCTAACGTAGAAAGCCAAGGCGATGATGGCGTAGAGGCCGAGCAACATGGCTCCCTCGAGGTAATTGGACTTGCCGTCCTGCACAGTGTACGTAACTACCAGCACAGAGAATGCGAAGGCCACAGTCTCGAACGTCTCAAAGTGAAGCGTCATGGGCTTGTCGAGAACAGCCCATCCAAGGATGACCAGGAATGGAGTGACGAGAAGGGCTATCTGGATGCTGGAGCCGATGGCAACACCCATAGCGAGGTCCATCTTGTTGCGGATAGCCACGACGACGGCTGTGACGTGCTCTGCCGCGTTACCGACGATGGGAATAAGGATAAGTCCGATAAAGTTCTTGCTGATGTGGGCCGTCTCAACAATGGGGTCAATGCTCTCAACGAGGTAGTCGGCGCAAATCGCAACCAGAACAGTTGTGACCACAAGCACGGCGGCGGCGGCGATAGGACCCATAATAGGCTCCTCGGCCTCCTCCTCATTGTGGTGTTGGATCTCAGCATCAAAAAGGTTGGGGTGAGTGCGCAGCTGGAACCAGAGGTAAAGGACGTAAAGTAACAGCAGGATAATGGCAGTGCCACGAGACAGGACTAGAATGCTGTGCTCCTTCTCAAGGCTGTCAGCCTTAGCAAGTACAGAGTAAAGCTGTCATGCGCCGTTAGTTAATGAACCAGGGTAAGTGAGCGTATTAGGATACTACTTACCGTAGCAGGGATAACAAGCGAGGCAGAAGAAAGCGTCATCAGCGAGCAGGTGGTTTGCGCCGTGGCAGAGGCAAAGCTCTGCTCCATGCCCTGGCCAGTAACACGGTCGCGCATGTTGACAATGCCGCCAAAGAAGAAGCACATGCCCATGACGAGAAGCAGATTCGAGAGAATGGAGCCGAGCATAGACGACTGGACAACCTCGATCTGGCCCTCCTTCAGAGCAACAATGCTGACAATCAATTCGACTGCATTGCCAAAGGTAGCGTTAAGCAATCCTCCGAGGGCCTCTCCCAGCTTCATAGAAATTTGCTCGGTTGCGAACGACAAGACAGCGGCGAGCGGGATAATGGCAAAAAAGTTGATGGTGAAGACGGCAGTCGGGCTCCAGTGAAGCTTTCCGGCAACAATGCCCAAGGGAACCATGATAAGAAGAAAGTTGACATAGTCTGTGACAAAGAGGGAACTTGTTAGCAGTCGCGTCGCCATGTCGCCAACATCGCCAGGGCAAGACAAGATATGAACGAAGCTACTTACTGCTCAAGAGGGACACCTTGGTTACGTGCCATGCCTGGGAGGAGTACCTCACGGCGATATTGGGGCTGTCGGTGCCCGGGGTATGTGTCGAATTGAAGAGGAACTTGAGCGTCTTGTTGCCGCCGTCGCCATTGGCGACATGGGTTTCATGGCTGCTGTTTACAAGGAGCGGCGAGTTCTCGTTGACATTGCCATTGGGCTTGTTGGTGGTACCCCAAGAGCGGACCTGTCCGCGGAAATGCTGGTTGACTGAATTGTCGGACATCGCACCCTCATAATTAGCCAGAGCCCTAATAGATAAGGTAGAGAGATATGTCTCCTGTCGCTGTCGCGCGTCTCGTGGTGGGCAGGCGTATCTCAGGATAAGGCAGCCAGAGGGAGGGCGAAATCGAAGGCAAGGAAAAGGGAATGTACAGGTGAGAAGGGAATGACGATAGACGGGTAGAAGAATGTGCGCCGCAGTAGCCAGTGGGTGGGAGAAGAAGAATGGAAGAAAAAAAAAGTGGTGGGTAGTGGTTACGATGCCAGAGAGTGTGGCTTGGAGGAAAGAAAAGAGGTGAATGACTCTCTGGCTGCGGCAGAGGGAAGAGATGGCCCAAGACTGGGCGTGCCAAGCTCAGGGTAGGTACCCGGAGGTGCAGCTCTAGGACATTGGGGGACGAAAGGTCCAATGGGGTTTTGCCGGTGTCACACTAAGGCAGGTAGCAGTGAATGGTGGGAAAGTGGAAGAAATGCGGGTGTACGAATTCAAACAAGGCGGGCTCAAAGTAGATATGTACGAATAGGTAAGGCAGGGAGGCAGGCAGTGAGATCATGAGCGGGCGCAAGTACTTACACAACATATCGAGTGACTCGGTGCTTGTTCTTTTTGCTCAATATCACAGACGGGCGGCACACACGTACCCAAAGCTCAGGTATCTCCGATGATAGTCGATAAGGTAGTCTAGTCAGTCACCACGGACCGGACGAGGTTTACCGATGAAGGCCCTATGCCTGCGGCGCCTGACGGTATATAAAAGTGGGGTAACGGTCGGTCAGTGGACGATGTGGTCCAATGATGCGAAGCTATGAGGAGCACGTTGGGCGCCAAGTCCAAGGCACGAGGGATCTGTATCGAAAGGTGGTCCAAGTGGATTGGATCAAACGTGCAGAAAGGGCGCGAGGATGCTGTAGTAACGGTGCTCGAGGGTTAGCAGGTAGAGTGGAGTGAGCGTGGGAAGGAGGGAGGGGGAAGTTGAGGCGAGGGAGTATCGAGTCGGATTTGGATGCTTGCCTACAAGTGATGTCTGTCCGTTTGGGGAGATGGTGTGCGGGCGAACGCAAGGCCAGTTGGTAGTCTCAGCGCGGCGATATAGAAGAAGGGCGAGACAGGCTCCAAGCAACGGCGTAGTAAATTGCTGGTGGGATGGAAGCAAAAATAAGTAGCAACGGCAACGATCCGTTGGACAAAGCCGTGTTCCAGGAGTTCAGGCGATGGCGAAATGGGTGCAGATACTGGGTTGGAAGACTTGGGAGAGTGCTTAGACAAGAAACGAACACAGCCCCCTTTTCCTGTCAGGCGATATGGAACGTGGGACGGACACCGTGGTACCCAAGAGAGAAGTGGGTAGTATGGACGGGATGAGACGAGACTGGCTTTCACACACTCGATTGCGAGAACAGGAGGAAAGTGACAGTTTGGTGGGAACCACAGCTTTTGGGTGCGCGGGCGGCCTCCCTCCCAGAGTCGAAAGGATAAGAGGACGAACCGGATGGGCGGGCGGGCAGGCATGCGACGGACCAGTCACTTAGAGCACCGGTGGGCAGGGCTTTCAGGTTTATCCTTGGCTTTCAATGACAATGACTGCATTCAATTCCTGCCGGTACCTACTGCGTGTCTCTAGCGCTTTGCTACGCTGCCATGACTGCATCCAGCTGTCATAATGATCTACGGAAGCCCTCCACGTCCATGACAAGCAGCAAAGCAGGAAACACAAGCTTTAGAGGGGCCGCCCCTTCTCTCTTCTTTCTCTGCGAGCTCCTCCCAAACGTCATACAGCAACCCAGCCAGTCACGAGCAGGTTTCAGCCTTCGGTACGTACCTAAGTGGACTCTGTGATACCCAATGGGGAGCTTTCTGAGTGGTGCCAAGCGTGGCTGTGTTGTCTGGCGTTGCTTCTGATATTTCTCCGCTGTTTCCTGTCCGACGCTCGCTCGCCCACTCACCCACATGGGTTGAGAGTGCCGTCCCTCCACCTCCATCTGGATCTTTTCTAGGTACAGTATCCGTACTACAGGTACCGCTTCTACCAGCGACGCTAGTGGACGGAACACTTTACTCTCCCGACGCCGATAAGCGCTTGTCTGTTTGTCTGTCTGTCTTGCCTGCCTTTCTCATCTTGGAGGACTCTCGCCGTCATTCCGGCGTCTTCATACCTAATTTGTTTCTCCCTGGAAGAATTTGTCCCGCTCAGGTAATTGAGCACAACAGCGATCACACTTTTCTAGCTATGTCCGAACTCCACCTCGGTTTTTGCATAGTCGCCACGCATTGCCTTGGCAACCTATAAAGTTTTTTTGTTTTATATTATTTCCATCCAGAAAAAGAAATAGAAAAAATGGGGAGTGGGCGGGGGGAGATTGATCGCCTTGAGGTTTGGCTCGACAAACCTTCCCCTTAGAACGTATTAATCCGTCCTAACATTCGGCTCATAGACCGGACGATGTGCGACAAACAGCTCGAGCTCCTTTCTTCCAGCCGCTCATCACTCTTCCAGCACAGTTCCACCTGCTGTTCCATTTCTGGTATGCTCGTGTTAGGTTCTCTTCAAAATTCCAAACCGAGGGGCCGATTCCTGATCTCATCGCCCTGTCGCCTCCGACCAAACAATGAGTTGCCACAGCGCGTGCTTCGGGGAACTCTCAAAATTTGGTGTAAATCACGGGCCCTTATAAGTCTGCCTCCTTGCTCTCTCTTCAGAATGTCTCGCGACCGACATCCCGCAAACAAGCTCTAGATCAGAACAGCACAATAGAGCAAGAAGGTCCCAGAAACGGTGTTTGCAGTTATCCTACAAAACGCCTTACTGGCTTGCCGGGAGCCGGGGGCCCACTCTGTCCACTCGGGTTCCGAGCCCCATGCCCGATCTGCGGGCCCCTCCCCCC